TTTTTTTTAAGATAAGATAAGATGGGATAATCCTTATTTGTCCCACAGCGGGAACATTCGCAAGATTACGGCTGCTGAGTGGAAAGCACTAACAAACAAACAAGTCACAAGCAGATAAAAAAGGTCTAAATAAAATATATATAAAATATACAATAATAAATAAGTAATCACACAGTAAAGGTATGAAAAAAAGCAACACAATTCTGTATGCTCTTGCAAGGAAGTCTTTTGAGAAATGGACCATGTGGTCTATCCTCTTTGCGGGGCACTTTGAGGGATAACACTTGTTTTTTAGGGTCATGCTATAATTTAGGTTAGGTCAAGCTTAGCCCTGTTTGAGCTCTGATACCACAAGCCGATGATTTAACGCACAAGCAGAGAAGAAGATGAAGGCGGAAAGGCACAATCTGCGTACAGTACGCATTGGATTTATTTAAGCGGTAAAACGTTAAAAGAACATCTTGATTTCCCTCATTTATATCTTTCAGTACAAATTCCAACACACAATCAACTCGGCGGCTAGAGGACGCAGCCGGGATCACCGTAATGACCCCAATGACAGGGGCCCTCCGGCCAGAAAGGGGATTAATTAAGGGGCCAGATTGGAAATCCCCCCCCCCGGGGCAGGAGGCCCTCTGCACCTCCCCTCCACCCAACACTCAGACACCGGTGTGAATAAATAAAACGCATGCGCACATGCATGGCCTCACAAAGTTACACACAGGTGAGCACACACACGCACATTCCTGTCTGCCCTGCGGGTTTAAATCCTTCTCTAACTCGCCCTGGCGGCGTTTGTACGACTCCAGAGGAAACACGTTCAGCACTTAGCAATGGCTTTTTACTCGCCTGCCCGGGCAGCTCAACGCACTCATTAACTTCCCCTCGTTCATTGGAGGAAACTCGTCGTTTCAGGGTGAAAACAAAGCCCCCCCCAAAAAAATTGGAATGCCCCAGCGTGAGTACATTGTGTTTGTGCAGCCGTCGAAAAGAGACCCAGCGGTCCAGGTATCGTAGCGTCTCCAAGGAAGATGAACAACACAGCGGATCCGAGGTGATATCCGCTCGGCCCCCCGACGGCGTCTCGTGTTCGTCCCCGTCCAAGTGGTTCCGCTGTCACCGTGGCGGCTATCGAATAAGAAGCAGCGCTGTGACGAAAAGGAAGCTCGGTTTTGAAGTCAAGTTCCTCGTCACACACTCGACTTCAGCTCAAAGAGGCAGCGGTGCGTCTGTTGAGCCCGGATCTCTCCGGCTTGAGGCCCTCAGCTGCACGCGGGCGCTGAAAAGTGATCCTGACGTCGGAGTATCTGGTTTCTGGCTTATTTTGTGCGACGGGGTTCTATAGATAACGTATCGAGTGGCTGACGGCCGAAAGTGTTTCCTTACTCGCCGGGTCTTTCTCTCCTCCGAGGAGCTTGTGTTGCTACGAGCCTTTATTCCGCTTTGGGTTTCGGGCGGGACGAAGTCGGACAAACTGGGAAAGATTTTGTAAAACGTTAAAACAATAAACAAGGGTTTGAAATCACTGTAATCCCATTTAAAGCAATGATCTCATGATATAAACAGTTATGTAAAAACTGTGATCGGAATAAGTGGGATGTTCTTAAACTGAATGCCGCTGAAATGGTCAAATTGTCCCAAAAAGATGCTCGAAAAGCTCGTTAAAGTATCATGCGTGCAGGGACCTCGGAGGATTTCAGAGTGAGTCCATGTATGCAGGCTTTGGTTTATCCAAACGCAGAAGGTCAGACAATCACAGTCTTAAAATAATCACGGCCGAGCTTTGGATTTGTTCCGTTCGCCCTGGACGACTCGCGCAGAGAACTTTCACCCACAATGTTCTCGATATTAACGATAAACATCTCGTGTCGCGTTCAGCCCAGCGGGGCCGGTCCAGATACGGGACATAATCTTCCCGGCCAGCCCGTTTTAATCCGGCGTCTGCCGGCATCTGGCTGTCGGACAGCTACAAGTAGATGAAAACCTTCGCGCCAAAGGGCAGCTCCCTGGAGCCGAGCCCGGACCCCGACAGAACCCCCCCGCCCATCTGTCTGCACCCGTCAGAACCACGGCTAACGAGGCGACGCAATAAAAGCCCGGGGTGATTCATCATTTGAGAAGGTGTCTTGCTCCTATCGCGCTGGGCGGTGGGCTCTCAACACGGGCTCATTGCGACTCATTTTGAACTTCACACGCTGCTTCTAATCTCGCATCCAATTTTTTTTTTTAAACGGGGGCATTTTCCTGTGCGCATGCAGCGGTGCGCCTGCACATCAAAATCCATTCGGTCCCGAGCCACGGGGAGGGAAAAGAATAAGCATCTTTGCACTAATGCATCAAAGTGTCTGGAAGTTGGCCGCTGTTCAATATCTTGTTTGCGTGCTTCTGCAGAGAGCGCCGGCATTCGCCCAGCAGGGGATGAAGCAGTGAGGAGGGGTTTGCAGGCCAGTCAGGGTCAAACCAAGAGGTTTGTTAACACGGAGCATTAATCTTGCTTGGGCACACATCCACACGTTGCAAGGTAAGTGGAAACACACACACACACACGCGTGTGTTCTCTGCGGCGAGCCCAGATGCCCGCGAGTAAATTTTTAATCACGAGCTCTCTAATCACTCAGGGTCCATCTTAAACACCCCGCACTCACCCAGACCTCCGCCTCAACGCCGGGGGCTTCCGCGGCAGCTCGGCCTCCGTGCCGTTTACCGGTTGCTGGTGTTTCGTCGGGGTTTTTGGTCCCCGAGTCGTTCCTTCAAAGCTCCACCGCTGCAGTTTTTTTTTTAATTCTTCTTCCTCCCCAAATCACGACTCAGGAGGGCTCGGCGCCTCTTCCCGGAGATGTCTTCTCTCACTGGGTGAAATGAAGTTCAAGTAGCGTTTCAAGGTGGATTAAATGACTGGTGGTTGGGATTCTAAGGCTCGTACAACCTTTTTTTATGACGCATCTATCGCCTTTAGCCTGTAAAATAAACTTCTTACTTGACAACAATGGCCGCTCCTCAAGAGGTCAGCGGAGATGCTGCTGAATATCCAACTGGAGAGCAGCTCTAAATTAAAGAGAGACCAAAGAGTCCAGAGAACAGATGTGTTCGCTCTTCGGCACTTGACAGATCACCTATTTTTTGAACAGTTTCCCGTGACGACCTGGTGGACGAAGTTTACCGCCAATATCGAAGGTTTAATCGTCAATTATGCAGCATTTATTGAGCGAGATGGATCTCGTAATGTTTTTCTATCATGCTGCTTTTGCAACTGTAACGACACATCTTTCTCTAAGCGAGCTCCTGCTCGTCTGCTGGATTCGGCTGCTCAAAAGCACTCAGGCGCTCACAACCGTGGAGCATTGCACTGGACACCGACCGGGACAAATGGGAGGAATTTATGGGACATACCAACATTTCTGAGTCCCTTTCTCTTTTTTTTTTTTTTATGCTCCCAGGAAGTTGTGACACAGTGCTGCCCGTTTGGCTCGCGGCCCGAAACCGTCTTCGGGGACGCGGCGCTGTCCGCATTGTATAAATAAACTCCCGTCCCACGGCCTCCGCTTGGTCTCCAAAGACACTTCCGATGAGGTTTAAAACAACGACGCAGTGAATCTTACTCGGCACTTTATCTCATTGACATTTTCCCCAGACGCTTCTTTGATCCCACGGTTGTTCCCGGCGCGTCGCTATTGTCCAAGCAGAGCACACCTTCATCACTCGGCCTTGCGCCTTTTTCAAAGACCGGACGGGGACGGGTGGAGGGGGGGGGATGGGGACGGGGGGCTTTTCAGGTCTGTGCTCGTAAATGACCTGCCGCCTCCTTCCTAAGGATTACTGGGAGATGTGTCTGTTTGTCCATCACCTGTGTGTGTGTGTGTGTGTGTGTGCTGATTGGTCCACAGCCGCCAGCACAGCTACCTGGTTTCTCTTTTTGCAGGACCAACAAAACATAAATAACGACGATACGAAATTTGAGAGGCTGCGGAAAAATTTAGAGACCAAAAATATCTCCAATCAAGATGCAGTTGTGGTCCTGTGCTGCATACCATTCGTTGTCGAGTCTATTCTATAATAATAATAATTATTATTATAAGTATCTCTGGTGTTGGAGCTCGTTATCTTCAATACAGCCTGCGAGCTGCTTTAAATCCAACCCTGAATGACTTATTGACCACAAATCTAATTGATTTTGTAACACCAAACAGGGCAAATGGAAAAAACAAAAAACTTCAGCCAGATTGCGTCCAACACGAAACCAATCAACTAATGGATCCAATGTACTACGTGGGACATACTGAGCCACATGCACCCACCGGGTTCACTGCATCCAGATACAAACACTTTGTTCCACCGACATTCAAAACATAACATTCGCTTTGGTGATATTATTATTATTATTATGGTAAGATGTCATTATTTGGCCGATGTGTACGCGCAGAATAATCTGAATGAACGGGAGGAATCAATCATCCAGACCAGCCTCGGGCGCTCAGGGAGACGATCACGATAACGACCCCCCCCCCCCTCCTCACCCCTCCTCACCCCCCATCTCCCCTCACCATCCCCATTAAGACACACGCGCTTTTAACGGGACAGCAACACACGCAATAAAAACCCTAAATCTCCTCAGAAGGTCTCACAACGCGAAATGTGGGGCAGATCAGAATAGATTTTTATTTTGGGAAGAGGGGGGGAGGGAGGGAGGTGGTGGGGGGGGGGGCATGCTGGGTTAGATCACTTCGCCGGGATGGCATCTCCAAACGGGACACATGGTCGGGCGCCGCCGATGCGTCCTTCTGGAGACAAAGTGTGACCCGCTCGCTTGTATCACCGAGCGGGGATCGGGGGGCGGCCGGTGCGTAACGGAACTAAGGCAGAAACACGCGAATCAAGCTGGCCCCGGTTTCCTTTTTCTAAAGAAGCAAATTCAAAACAGGAACCCCCACCCACCGCCCCCTCCCCCCCAGACACGTCTCCCATCGGCGGGTCTGGCACGATGGCACCGCGCGGTCACCCACCTTTGTCATCCCGGCGCGCGGGGACGTGATGTGACGCGTCGCGTCGGTGCTTTTCTCCCCCCGGGATGAGGCTCCGTGTCCCGGACAGCCGACTGCTCCTCTTCCCCCTTCTTTCTCCCCCCCTCTCCCTCTTCCTCTGCTTTCCGGGGGTGCTTACTGTGGTCCAGGGATGCTCCTCGTCCTCCGCTTCCTCATCGGGTTGGTGTTCGGGTGGCGCAGTCTCTGAAGCAGCGGATCTGCTGTCTGTCTCTCATCAGAGGCTCCTTGCGACTCCTTTCAGAGTCGGTCCCCCCCCCCCTGCCCCTCTCTCTCTCTCTCTCTCTCTCTCTCTCTCTCTCCCCTCCCTCTCTCTCACACATACACACGTGCACGCTGACGTGCGGGGACCATCCCGCTCGTTCCTCTCCTCGCACCGCTTAACTGTTTTTGACTTTTAGCATTAAAAAAACATCTGTCATGCAAATAAAAAGCTACAGCTAATTTGAATGTGAACTGGAACTTGATAGCTGATTTAAATTTAAAGCAGTTCAGGGGGGGTCATTCTTTCATTATTACTGGTCCTGGGGCAAATCCAGGAGAGAGCCCCCACCCCACCCGGGACTCACGGATTATTGTCCTTCTTTTCCCTACGGGGAATGTTATTGTTATTCCAGAGGATGCTCATTGTGATGCATGCGGGCCTTTATCCCCGCTCCCTGCACCAAAGGTGTCCCCTAAAGGTGATAAAACAAGGCGGGGGGGCTGAGGGGGGGGGGATTGCTTAATCATTGGCGCTCCTCGCGGGCTGAAAACTGCCATCCAGCGAAGGCCCTTCTTCACCTTACGCCTCCATCCGAAGCCGCAAGGAAACGCCAGTTTGTCTCTGCTGTCATGGTAACTAAGAGAGCCGCTCGGTTAGGGAACGACCACGTCGTCGTACCCACAGCGACGGTCAGTAGGGCTTTCTTTCAGGGGCCGAGCGAATCCCCGTCCGTGATGTCGCCTCGGTTTGTGAAGCTGTGACAGAAAACCTGCACTTAGCGGGTGGCGCGTGTTGGCGGGGAGGGTCCGAAGTCAGGGTTTCTTAACCATGCCCCCCCAAAACTTCACGGTAATATGCTGCGGGGCCCCTTCGATGGGCTCTCCCACGGCGTCTGTCAGGTTTAATACACTACCGCAGCTTTCCTGCTCCAACGTCTCGCCCTCACAGTCAGCCGGTCTAATCAAAGGCAGAAATACTTCCTTCGGTTGTTGGGCTATACTTCATTTTTTGATGCTCACACCCAGTTAATGACAGCGGGGGGCAAAAAACTGTGACCATGCATCTCATTTAAATCCAATTTCTGCTGGAATATTATTAGCCACTCATCTACATTTATATTGCCCCCATTTATCGGCCTTTCTGCGTATCTTTCCGGAAGCGAGCCGCCGCGACTCGACGGCACGTTTTAAAATACGGCGTTGTACTTTGTGGGGTTTTTATTATTATATTGTTCTCTCACAGTTCCAGCGGAGACTCCTAATGAGGCGCAACTTAAAAGACAATTCATCGCTGGTGACCCTTTTTTTTTGCTTTTATGTCCCATTAAATCCCAGTTTTTGATGTTGTGTTGCTTCCCCTCTGTAATTAGATGTTTGTTCCTGCGGGAGACACATTGTGGATCCGTGGTTGCTGGAGCGGCGATGGGGACGCTGGACCATTAGTCCACGCCGTCTCTTCCCATCGATCCTCTGTGGGACGAGCTGTTGAGTTTGTCCACAGCTCGTTAAACATCCCAGTGGCATTATAATTCATTGTTTTCCTCTGGTTTGCGGGTCAGCAATAATGCGTCACCCCGCAGAGCTGAGTGGACAATATTAGTTTCAGAGGCTTTATTGTCTGATAAATTGGATTTTGTTGGCTTCCTCTCCCGCTTTTTGGCCTAAAATTGATTTACGGGACGGATTTTTGCAACATAGTTTTGGAGACAGTTTATAATGAGCTCCAAAACGCATGCTATGCTAAGCTCCACAACCGCAGCTCTCTATAATTACTTATATTGACTTTATGCACACAGCAATCAGGCGCAACTGACTTGATAGAAGGTGCATGGGAGCCACTAATGAACCGTCTCGCACCTTCAGCTTTGTGTCTTTGCGTACGAGTATTCTGCCTCATTATCGTTCAAGGACGGTTTTGTCACCGTGTTGCCCTGGACTTGGGGACTTAATGAGTCCTTGTTGTCCTGGAAATGTGCTTCCTTTGGTCACAGACCCGTCCTCTGAACCAGGACGAAGTCAACGAAGGTTCGATTGCGTCGGGGGGGCTCAGCCGAGCTGTAAACACCGTGCTCTTGTGCGTCTCGCTGTGCATATGTAGCTATTTGTGTCTTTGGATTGGCCTCCCCGCTACTTGTGTATTGAATTTCATTTGATCTTATATCCTGCTCGTTGTATTCTTGCCAAAGAAACCTTTTGTGTGCTCATGTTTTGACGTTCCTGATGGACCGGTTGCTGTTGTGTGGGTTGACGCTGCTAATTAGAGCTTATAAAACCTCTTCAACGCACAGGAAATGAGCTTCACGCCGCTCCGGCCGAACAACATGTTGAAATTTTACTGAAATAATTTTGTGACTGCTCCATCTCTGCTTTGTCAAATAAACTAGAAAAAAACCCAAAACGTACAAACATCTTGTCAGAACAATGCAAATGAAGTAGATAAAGAAGAAGAATGAATCCTGAATTTCCCCTTGCGACCCGCTAGAGGGCCGCGCCCCACAGTTTGGGAAACGCTGAGCTCAACACACAGCAAAACTGCGTCTAATGGTAGAGATTTTAACCCGGTTGCTGTTTGCCATTGTTCTTTTTCAAGGACAATCTATTTTAAGGTGTAAAGGGATGAAATTGTCTGGAAGGAAATTGATGACTAATCCCTCAATGACGACAACCCTCACGACACAGGAACCGGAAAAGAAGCATAAAGAAATATGAACTATGAGGATTCTGAAGCTCAACTCGTTCCCAAACGTCCGTCTCGTATCTAGAATGCGTGCGAGGTTTCCTGTTAGTCTGAATAACAGCCCAAAGGAATGCGAGAAGTCAATCGTTTATTAAAAAATGCCCGGCCGGGCTTCAAACAAGAAGGAGCGCGTTTGTTTTGTGATGTCTGCATTGTCTCGGCTTTAGTTTCTCAGCTTCCTCACATTAAACAAGCACAGTGTCGAACCTTTTTCACAGAGCAGCGAACTCACCAGGAAACCAACAGTGCAAAACGCTGCTGATTCATTTCTGGGATTTCAGGACGTATTCCTGCAGCACCATAATATATGCAGTCCTCAAAGCAGCACACGGCCTATTTCTTATCTAAAGTGATGCTGTAGGTCATCTGTGGATACACAAAGGGTTAAACATATTCTTTATGGTCCCACAGCTGCTTGAGTACTGGAGACGTGAGCTTTGGACGAACTTTAGTGCACTGCTCCCTCCTCTTCGCTCATAGGTCACTGCGACGTCCTCGCTCTGAAAATATAGTTTTTCTTCCTCCCGCTTTGTTAACCAAGAGCAACATAACAGACGTACGGCTACGTGCCAACAGAGTCCAGGCAAGAAAGAGTGCAGGGATAGTGCCTCATTTAGTGCAGATAGTGGCCCTACTGTTCCAAACAGGCCTGTCAACGCTTCCTGTCAGCGCTGCTGCACACACACACACACACACACACACACACACACACACACACACACACACGTCTCTTTGTCATCCACTTTCTTCTGCTTCTTCACCCCCCCCCACCCCCCCAGCCTCCTGGGCTCAGGTGTCACAGCGGCTCTCGCACCTCCCCTTTGAAGGGAGGGCTCAGCGGCGAGGATCAACACGGGGGCCAAAGGTTTTAGACAGTTTCCCATGGGGTGAAAAAATTAACTGCTGCTGTGTGTGTGTGTGTGTGTGTGTGTGTGTGAGAAAGAGGCTGCATCACACACAAGGCAGTGTTTGAAGCCGGGTGCACACTGGCTCAGCCCTCTCAAAGCCCGTGGTCATGTTACTTAGCTCGGAGGGGGGGGGGGGGGTCAAAGGTCGAAGCCAATGAGCCACCGCACACAGAAGGGGCTGTTGTTCCAACCGAGCTGCCACTCCGGCGCTCCGGCGTGTAAAACACCGGCCTCTGGGTGTTCGGCTGGGACGTGGACGCCGGACACGTTTTCTGGATCGCCGCCCGCCGCCGTCCGAGGAATCCGTGTCCATCCGCGAACACGGCGCCACGAGCGCTGTTTGGAGGAGGTTCGATTTTCAGAAGCTTTTATTTCAGACTCACGACCCAGATTGATTTTTGATTTCTTCTTCTTCTTCTTCTTGTTATTCCCATCACGGAGAGAAGAGGAGAGGAGATGTGACATGGATGTACGGACAACACACACACACACACACCAGCTTAGTGCTGTCCTCTCCCCACACCGACGCTTTAATCTGTAGATGGACTTGTAACATTAATCTATACACATTATCAAATTGAACTGGAAGACTCCACACATGAAATCACTATTACTGCTTCACCGTTCATGGCGGTTTATCCAAACGCTGCAATCTTCTGTTCCCAGATAACCCCCCTCCTCCTCCTCTTCCTCCTCCTCCTCCTCTTCATCTGACCCTGATTTGATTACGTTCATATGAGTGTTAGTAGATTGCATAATTCTGCCCGTTTAGAAGCCATTAGTTTATATTTCTATTTTACTGTTGCGATAAATCAGCTTTCAGATATTTTTAACCAGGGTGGTTTATGGAATGTATGTATATATAAATATTTATTTAAATATTTATGGGGAATATGTACTCAACTTGCACTGAATGAAGATAAACAAAGATATATTGCATGTACATATACTCTGATACAGTTGTAGTTCTCTCCATCACCTGGCTGTCATCCATCACATTAAAACGGGGTCATTTTTTGCATGATGATTATATACTACTACAACTGGCCTGCTGCATTATGATTAAGTATTGTTTAGTAGGTATAGTTACTCTTCTACTGTGTTCTGCCACATCAAACCTAAATACAATAAGAACAATGAATTTAAAACACATATTATAAATATAATCCTGCATTAGCTGTATTCCCAGTTGCTTCCCAGTTGCTTTCTATATAATACAATAATATCATTTGCTGTTTTGGGAATAATAATTCTACCATATTGTGCTCACCCCGTTGACTTTATTTATTTATTATTCATGTTGGATATAAAATGCTTCACGTCTCCAGAAGGCGACGTTCGTGGAGCCACTCGGCCACGTGGCGGCGGTAGCGAGCGCTGACGTCACGGTGACCTCACAAAGATGGCGGCGCCCGTCAGCAGGCGCAGCTGGCTCGCTTCCGCGTCCAGAAAAGTGGGAAGTTTTCTCTTCGGCTCAGTTGTCGTCGCCCAGGCGGCTGCGCGCGGGGACGAAATGGACTCCGCGGGGCCGACTAAGGTTTGTTTTACTCCCCGCTGAGTCACCACATCATTGGATAACTGAAAGACAACAAGCACGCTGTAGCTCGCACGCTTTTAATGCTGCTATGACAACGCGTTTCGTACTGTACGTGTTATTCACTCGGGGTGTCGTGTCGGTTTACTCCTCCACAGCTGGAGTTCGCGGTGCAGATGTCGTGCGAGAGCTGCGCAGTTAAAGTCCGCGCTGCTCTGGAAGGTAAACAAGGTAAGAACAGGATTTGTTTACCTGGAGCCCTAAAACCAGCTCACTGTCTCATCTGGTAGGATGCGCATGCTAATGCACTTTATTCATTCATCTGGAATGATCAGCTGCAGAACATGTGTCTGCGATGAATCAATGTTTACTAAAACATTTCTTTATCCAATAAATATCCTCACCCGAATGACTTGGACAAATCTGTATCTTAGAGCAGTGAAAAAACAACATCCACAGACCAGCTTGTTCATTAAGTAGATGTTTGACATGGTAACAAGTGTTCTAGTTCTTTCCACAGAACTTTTAATACATTATTGGAAAAAAAACTTCAAAACTACATCTTAAATTACCACACATTCAAAAGTGACACAATCCTTTTTTAGTTGCGATGCGACTAGTTTTTTCCTGCGTGTGTGTATTTGTGTGTTTGTCCATCACATGACAACACGAATCCGTTTTGCAGGCGTGTCGTCCGTCAGCGTCGACGTCGGCGAGGAGCGGGTGCTGGTGGAGTCGTCTCTGACCAGCGCCGAGGTGCAGGCTCTGATCGAGGGCACCGGGCGCCGGGCCGTGCTGAAAGGCATCGGAGGATCGGAGCACGGTGAGCGAAAACCCACCGGGGCGAGGCTCAAAACGCCCCCCCACCACTGAAAGGCCCCCTTTCGATCAGTGGAAAATAACTCGTGAGTGCGCGTGTAGCATCGGTCAACCTCCTCAGACAAGCGGTGTTCGTCACGACATCCGACCTCAGCGGATACACGCGATCTGATTGGAGGCCGCCGCTCCAGATGCATTTTTCACGCATTCTTGTTTCACAAAGTAACATTGTATATTTCCCCGCTGCGGGACGACAACAGAAAAAGGATTCTCTTACTTTATCTAATGGGCTCGAGTGTGAGAAATGGCGAACAAAACGTCTACTGTGTGTGTGTGTGTGTGTGTGTGTGTGTGTGTGTGTGTGTGTGTGTGTTGTCACCTGGTGACAGACCTGGGGACGGCGGTGGCCATGCTGGCCGGTGGGGGGAGGATCCAGGGGGTGGTGCGTTTCCTGCAGCTGTCCGAGCAGTGTTGCCTGATTGACGGGACCGTTGACGGGCTGCAGCCGGGACCCCACGGCCTCCACGTCCACACCCTGGGGGACCTCACGCAGGACTGCCTCAGGTACGCCGCGAGCATGTTTTACCTTTGTTTAATCAGCGCCTCGGCCTCCTTGCCGGCCTTTAACGGCTCATCGTTTCCTTTTTTCTTTTTTTTTTTTTTTTTTACAGTTGCGGCGAGCACTACAACCCCTTTGGGAGACAACACGGCGGTCCAGGGGACTCTGAACGGGTTCGTCTGCCCCTTAACTTCCCCTTTTACGAACGAGATCGCCGCCCCCCCCAGAACACATTGTCATTATTAAAGGAGTTATTAAATAATGGATCGTCTCCTCGTGAAATCCCGACGGTCTCTGCTCGAGATTTGATGAATATTTCAGGGTGAGCCAAATGTGAGACGCGATCCCCGCCTCGTGCTGCCCAACGCGTCCCCCGGGAGCCCTTCTGAGCAGTTCTGCTTCAGGCGCGGCGCCTCGCGGCGGGTTGTTCCCCGACTATTAAATTCTGCTCACGCCCGTGCGGTTCCCTCCTAACGCTGCGTGCGTGTCCCTGTTGTGCAGCATGTGGGTGATCTGGGGAATATTGTTGCGGGACCAGATGGCCGAGCCTCATTCAGGCAGGAGGACAGTCAGCTGAAGGTAAAAGACACACACGCGCACACACACACACACGACACAAAGATGCATGTTGGCACGGGTAGAAAAGCAGGTGACTGCGGTTTATTTAGCAAATACGTTTTATGCAAACATTTAAATTCCAAATCAACGCCAGATGCTCATCCTTCACGGGAGTCTTCTCGGCCCCCCGTGAAGGATGAAAGGGGGCCGATTCAGCTCAACCCCCCCTCATGTCTCACTGTTAAATACCCTCAATTACCATTTCCTCGCTTGGCTGCCTCCGATTCCTCTTGTGGCCCGCTGTCCAACCTGGGAAATGAGGGGGGGGGGGCTCTTTTGTTGCTTCCCACGTTGACACGAGACGGCGCTCGCTCTGCAGGTCTGGGATGTGATTGGCCGATCGTTGGTGGTGGACGCAGGCGAGGACGACCTGGGCCGAGGACATCACGCCCTCTCCAAACAGACCGGGAACTCTGGGGAAAGGTGGGTCGACGGCGGCGGTCTGAGCCGGCGTTTTCGTGTCACTCTTCTCCTCCGTGCTTCCAACATGGCGTCTCTTCCCCCCCACCCCCTCTCTGCTACAGACTGGCCTGTGGGATCATCGCCCGATCCGCCGGCCTCTTCCAGAACCCCAAACGCATCTGTGCCTGCGACGGCGTCACGCTGTGGGAGGAGAGGGACCGGCCCATCGCGGGGAAAGGTCGGAGCAAGGTCGGCGCCGAGACGCCGGCGGCTAACCTGTGAAGCGGCGACGTGAGACCTCGGCCTCGTTTCCGTGACCCGTTGTCGGGGGGAGAGAGATGCGTTTCCACGCGGTGGGGCGGACGACCAGAAGAAGAACCACCGCGTCGTCTTCAAATCCCCTCGCAGGTTGCTGCCCTGAAGGCGTTGGCCTGCTAAGAACAGGAGGGCAAACGGAAAAGTCCAGAAGTTTCAGGGGTTCGTTGAAGGAGTCTGTGCTCAGTGTTTTTACCCACAGCTCCTTCATCAAGTCTGCTCACAAATTCCACTTGATTGATACGTTGATGGAAGTTTAATCTAGTCGCGTACAACAATTCACACTTATTGATTTCTGTTGTGTGTGTGTGTGTGTGTGTGTGTGTGTGTTTGGGGGGGGGGGGGGGTCATGTTGGCGTAGCGAGTTCTGCATCGATTGTTCAACTTGAGCGTCTGTCTCGTCCTGATGATTCCCGAAGAAGCTTTTTGAATTCACCTCCCAAATGTTCAGTCGGTGTCCATTATTCCATTTCTGTCTCAGGGCCGTGAACGCCACTTGAATGTAGAGCTGCAACCGGCCTTTATTTTGTATTAGATAAGATGATTTTTTTATTTTTTTTTGTTAGGGTCACGTATCTATGAAAATGAGAGAATCTTTTGTGAAAATAACATTCACAGTGATGTAAATCAGGGAGAATATTAAACAAGGTGTTTTGCTGACTCATTTCCTCCTTGAATGTTTTTGTGTGTGAATTATTACCTTTTTTATTTTCCTTCATCTGGGAGGCACCGAGAAATTAATACTCGCGGCTTTGTGCGCTGCGCGTTCGCGGGGACGTAGCATCCTCTGGGCGCAGGAGCACCACCCCCCCCCCTCCACCACCACCACCCCCTCCCCCCCCCCTCCGTCTCCAGCAGAATGCCCGACATGCAAACGGAAGCAGGCGCTACCATTTTGAAACGCAGCACCGCCGAGGTAAGATGGTAGTTTCCTTTCGTCCCCCCGCGCGTTTCTCCGCCGCGATTCTCCCCCGAGCCGCGCGCGGGCCGATCGGCTCCGAATCGCCGCCACGCCTCGAGTGTTTAACGCGCGCGTGTTTGCGCGTGGAGGTCTGTTTAACCGTGTTGTCCGCGCGGAAATCACTCGGCGTTACACTGTATTCGTTCCTGTGGGGGTGAATCTCCCCCCCCCCCGTCTGTTGTTACACTGTATCGATCCGCTTTGTATCATTCGTGTACATTGTTGCGTAAAATTGTTTATATTTCCTTTAGCCTGCGTGTCGCTTTTTTTTTTAAGGGTTTGTTGGCTTTAGTCACGTGTCTGTGACACGGGCGACACCTCAACAAAATAAAACGTGTCCGAACAACTTGACTCGCGTCTTCTCGGGATTTATTTCGCTTCTTCAAGCGACTCCGCTTGTGAGAATGTGTCGACTCAGCGTCGTGCTGCGTCATCATAAACGCGGGCCCCCTCCCTGCTCGACGGACGGGCCGCCGCGTAACACATGGTGGCGCGCGCACGTGGAGGCCCACATCTCTATTTAACACGTTGGGTGGGTTTTTTTCGGGGGGGGGGGGGGGCAGTTGGTATTCCGTTTACGCCTGAAGCAAAAAAGAAAGAAACAAACGTCGTTCTGCGGTGTTCTGATTTACAGTCGGCCGTGAACGTCGCTCGGGAGGAGGAACAACGTGTCAGCCAATCTGCAGCGGGGGGGGGGGGGGGGATTTTCCACCAAAATGGGGCTTTTTTAGCATCAGCATGAACTGATCTGCAGTGCTCTTACTTTGAAGGGCGATACAGTAAATAATGGCGCGGCCCGACGTGTAATTACAGCTTCCCCTGAAGTAAGACAGATATTTAATGAGGTCCTCCTTCAGTCTGCCTCTACTCTGGGGCCCAATGTTCGCCCCCCCCCCCCAGGGAAAACCCTGCTCCGTTTTGCATAATCAGAGTCCATCTGACCAGAGTGTCCCTCGTAGGCAAATGTGAGGTCAGATGTTTGTGTTAAGTTCCAGTTAATGCGTTTATTCTTTTATTGCCCCCCCCCCATCTCTGGACGGTCTTTTTAAAAAAACAGCAGCAACCCCCTCCCTCGCAGAACCAAAAAGCTTGGTCAGCGCTATAGTTTGTTCGGCTAATTGCACTTTTACTTTCTCAGACTTTGCCCCCCCCCCCCCTCACAAAAACACACACACACACCTTCCTCTGACTAACAAGCCCCTCCCTCCTCTGCTCCCCCGCAGCGCCATGGACAAGAGCAACACGGGCAAGCTCTTCGTGGGCAACCTGGCGTTGGACACCACCCAGGAGGAGCTGTCGGCCATCTTTGAACCCTACGGCCAGGTGGTGAGCTGCAGCGTGCTGCGGCAGTTTGCCTTCGTGCACCTGCAGGGCGAGGGCGCCGCCGAGCGCGCCATCCGCGAGCTCAACGGCCGGGAGTTCCGCGGGCGCAATCTGGTGGTGGAGGAGTCGCGGGGGAGGCCGCTGCACTCCACCAAGGTGTTTGTGGGCAACCTCAGTGGCATGTGCACCACCGAGGACCTCCAGCAGCTCTTCCAGACGTTTGGCAAAGTTTTGGAGTGCGATAAAGTGAAAGGTGAGCCAAAGACCTTTATTTTATTTTATTAACTGTAAAAAATAGACCTAATAGACCTGCCCACATGTTCTTGGGGGCGGGTGGGGGTGGTGGGTACAATTCATTGTTCTTGGTAGCAGTAATAAGTAAGTGCCTGTGGCGATGCCACTGTGATCCTAACTGTTGTCCCTGCGCTCAATGACAGCCAGGCATTCCTCTTCTGCAGGATATGCCTTTGTCCACATGGAAAACAAGGAGGACGCGCTCCAGGCCATCGAGGCCCTGCACGGGACCTCGTTCAAGGGCCGGCCCCTCTCCGTGGAGCTGTCCAAGGTCCAGCCCAGCAAGCAGGCGCCCACGGGGAAGATCCCCTGCGTCAACTGCGGCAAGCAGGGCCACTACGCCGGCGAATGCCCCGTCGGGAAGCCCTCGCTGGAGCAGTACCAGAGCCAGGCGGCGGTCCTGGCCGCGGCCGCCGCCGCCGCCGCCGGCCTGCCGCTGCAGGTGCAGCAGAGCGTGCACAATTCGGTCTACAACACCTCCACCTTCGACCCCACGTACGCGGCGCTCACCGGGATCACGACGGGCACGCGCACCGACGGAAACCCGGTGAACCCGGCGGTGTACGGCGCCCTCGCCAGCCAGGTGTACGGCGCCAACGTCGCCAGTCAGCTTTACGGGTCGGTGGCCAATCAGGCGGCTTTGACGTCGGGCGCCACCCAGATGTACAGCCAGATGGCGCCCAACATTTACAGCCAGATGGCGGCGTCCCAGGCGGCCGCCGCCGCTGCCTACTCGCCTCATGTTTACACCCCGACCATGGCCAACTCCCACGTCTACCTGACCGCTGCTCATGGATTAGAAATGCAGCAGGCGGCGGCGGCGGGCGTCAACCCCGGCTACGCGGTCTCACCGGGTATTTACGGCGGCGGCGGCGCCCCGGCCTACGCTCACATAAGCGCCATGGGAGGGACGGACCCCACCACGGCCATCTTTGAGGCCGCCAGACAGGCCCACTACTTCGCCCAGGGACAGCAGGTCATGGCGGACCAGCAGGCGGCGGCGGCCGCCGCCGCGGCAAAGTCCGGCGAGAGGGACCGCAGTCCGCTGCGGAGGTCGGTGCCGCTGCTGCCGGACCCGGTGATGAAGCCGTTCATGTACCAGAGGGCCAAGCCGCGCCGGCCCCTGCTCCCCACGCCGGCCGGCCGAGCGGCAGAGGAGGCAGCGGAGGCTGCCGAGGACCCCATGGCCAGGTAGGAACACGCCCTTCAGACCGCCGTGACCACGAGCTACGCGTCCCCCCCCTCCCCCTCCTCCCCCGAGAGAGTCTGTTCATTCGACAATGCCTTCAACGTTCGATGCCTTTTAAACAACATTTGCCACGTTTCTCATCCCTTTTTTTTGCTTTACCGCCCCCCCCCCCCCCCCCCCCCCTCCCCCCTCTCCCACCTAAACCCCCCCCCCCCCCCCCCTCCCGTAAACCCCTCCCTCCTTCTCTCAGGTACTACGCGGAGTACTACCAGCAGCTGCAGCAGTACCCGCAGTTCCAGTACGCCTACCCGCCGCCGAGCGCCATGACGGCCATCCAGGGCATGCAGGGGGTGTCGGCCGTCCCCGCCGTTTCCGCAATGTCGGCCCAGTCGGTCGCCGCGCTGGACGCCCTCAGGCCAGTGGTGCCCAACGCCGCGGCAGTGGCCGCCGCCATGGCCGCGCCAAGGGTGTATGAGCCGCCGTTGCCGCCGCCCGCGCGCAAGGAGGCCATCCTCCGCCGCCCCGAACTCTCCCTTCACACGCCTGAGCCCCCCTTCCGATAGTCGCACACAACTCTCTGAAACACCACCCTCCCCCCCCCCCCACCCACCCCTCCCTCCCTCTTCGCCCTGAACCCCATCGCACATCTCCTCTTCCACCCCCCCAAACTTGACCACCGTACAGCAGCTGTGTGTGTTCATGTGTGTGAGCGAGTGCGTCTGCGGGATCAAAGTGTGGGGGCGGGGTTTATTAACCTGCTTCACGGTGGGGGGGAGGGGGGGGGTCCCCGGGGGGTCCCCGATCGGCTAACCTTGGTCCTGTTTGCATGCACACAGTGCAGCCGTGAAAGGCTCTCACCTGCTCGCCACTCTTTGTGCTTCTCTTTTCCTTCTGTTATTCACCGTGCCAGTGTCTCTCTCTCTCTCTCTCTCTCTCTCTCGTGCCAGTATTAGACCGACCCGGCCGGTCGTTCCACGCGCCCCCACTCTGCGATAAGACGCTGTTTTTTTTTCCTTTTTCAATCCGTCATCCTCAGCGGGCCTAGATGATCGGTTCAAGGCAGCTCTTTATTTATTGTGAGAGTTTTTTCATTTGCGACGCGTGAGGCTGAGAGACACACATCATGTGACCAGGCTGCACTGCATCGTGTCCAATAGAACCAAGGTTGTTGTCCCGAATGTCTTGATGTGGTCGTGTGAAAGAGAGAGTGCGTCCCCCCCCCCCCCCCCCGACCTCGCAGCGCACAAACGCAGCAGCTTTCGACTGCGCCTTGCAGAAAAGAGGGGGGGGAATATATATATATATCTATATGTAGATATATATAAAATCACGTTAAGCACAGCTAATACGTACTGTAATGTATGTCTGCATCGCTCCTTGACCCCCCCCCCCCCCCTCCCCCCTTTCCCCACCTGTACTCTCAAACTACGACACTGGAAGACACGGCTCCACCTCTACATCCTACCTCTGACAGTACATTTATTCTGTTAAACACTTCTCACCCGGTCAGCAGCTCACTTCCTGCTCCTTGTAAAAGGTGCAGGGTCTTCATTTTAAGGGGGGGGGGGTTATCTACTTTTGTAGATATTACGTATTAAGTCCTCCTCAATTCCAGAGGCCTTTAAACACAAGTGTTTGCGTTTCTTTTGTCTTTTTTAGTGTAGTTTACGTGCAGTCAACCCGGGGTGTGATCAAATGAAACGCCCCCCCCGTGTGTGACTACTGAGCTGTTTACAAAGGATGCATGCGATGCACCCAGTAAGGAATCATGTGACCAGCTCAATTATGTGCCTATACGTTTTGAGCAAAGTGCATTACGTGGAGGGACCTGCCATTTTTAAGTGTTTTTTTTAAATCATTTTTTTGGGGGTGGGGGGACAACTTTTTTTCATATTGTAGTTTATTTAATTTTTTTTAATGACGAAAAAGCCACAAACCGAGCCGCCGGGTCTTAAGCGGGAACGAGTGATCGCACCAACCAATCGGGGGACGGGGGCGTGTCTTCCAGGTGCCCCGGGTGTCACCTGACTTCTTTTCGTTTCCCCAAACGGCAGACCTGCGTCGGATGGTATCCGCGGGGCGATTCGGGTTTTAATGCGGTTGTTGGGTTCTGGTCGGCGGCGGCTCGTCCCGACTTCAGATCCCAAAAATCCCTTTTTAAAACTTCGAAAATTGCTTTTGTTTGGCGGCTGCTGTCTGACAAGCGGTCTGACGCGCACAGGACGTGCTCTGGATTCACCTTACTGCCTCGCTGACTCCCCCCCCCCCACATCACCCCCCCTCCCTCCCTTCTCTCTCCCCCTGTGGTTTTTAGTGGCTAAGTGACTTTTGCATCTCACAGTGTAATCTTTCTGCGTTGTGTATATACAAACACATACCAGTTGCATCCTTTGTAGAATTATGTGGTTTGCGAAATGTCTTGTTTGCCATGTTTGACACCGTATTTTTTAGAGAAGTACTTTTATTTTGCCCTTTTTTTTTTTTAAGAAAAGGAAAAACATTAATTAAAAATCGGCATGCTTTTTATTGAGAATATGTACACTATAATCATTATTATAATAAAGAATGTTTGGCTCACTACTGTGGTAAAAGAAAGCAAAGGGTTTGGACGTTTCCCCTTCTTGTTCACGTGGTTCTTCTCTGCTTCTCTGGTGTGTAAAACGAGCACGCAGGTGCCGCTTTGCTTTCTTTGGTCAGGGTAAGTGCCGCTCGCCGCTCCTTTCTCTCTCCAGCCTCTCAAACTGACCAAAAATGCACATCTGGATTTCATTTCGGCAAAGAAAAGCTGGGGGAATTTTTTTTCATTTTTTTTTTTTTTTAATTGATTTTTTATTTATTTTCCTTTCATCCAGAAAGGAGCTGGCTTCATGTTGAGAGCTGGTGAGAGGCACACAGATAGAATGGCCCGGGTGCATTTTGATCTGTGGAGCAGTCCTGTTCCTGGGGTTGGTTGGTGGGTGTGTGTCTGGTCCCCCCCCCCCCCCGCCCCCCTCCCTCTCCGTGTGTCCACTCAGACCTGCATGTGTGTGATAACCTGCAACTCTGCCGCACAAAAAGAGAGCAAACTTCGCCCGCGACACTCCAGCTCTGAACTAACTATCTCAACTGAATTAGGTCACCTGGGACGGCCAGCGTGCCCCCGCGCCCCCCCCCCCCCCCTGCCCTCCCGGCGCCGCAGTGGGAACTCGTTCTCTCTCCTCCTCACCACCACCAAGGTAAACGAAAAACGACGACGACCGAAAACTCCCCCCGAAAAAAAACAAGCACTGGCCTCTCCTCTCGCCAACCTGCCGCCCCCCCCCTCTTTGACTGCGCCTTGGCAACCCCCCCCCCCCCCTCCTCTCCCTCCTCCGGCATCCCCACACACACGCTCCGTAACCCCCCCTCTGATTCAATGGCAGTGTTGTCGTTGTGGCGGCGGGGGGGTCAGACCCCTCGCATCAGCCTACAACGCCGCCGTGTGTGATGGGAGCATGTGTGGAGAGCTTTTAGGGAGGAGGGGGTCGGGGGGGGGGGGGGTGAAGCTTGCCACGTCTGGACGAACCCTGACCCCCCCTCCCCTGCCCCCCCCGCTGGTCAACTCCTCTCCACCGCCGCATTCGCCGCCCCTCACCCCCTCCCCCCACACCGGCCGCTTCCCTCCTCCACTTCCTCCCCTCGGCCCCGACCTACTGACCCCATGCGCCTCTCCGCCGTTCACACAGACACACACTCACACACACACTCTCACACACACACACACACACACACACACAGCGCTTTTTTTTTTTTTCACCGCCGCCACCGACCGTCGCCCAACGCCCCCCCCTCCTCGGATCTGGGTTCGTGGCTCTGGCTCTCAGACTCAACATCCCAGAACCGCCCCGCCTGACCCAACGCCCCCGTCCTCCTCTTGTGGGCGTGCCAGAAGACCGCGTGTGTGTGTGTGTGTGTGTGTGTGTGTGTGTGTGTTGTGTCCCGCCACCGGACTCACAGAGGGACTTCAGTGACGGAAACGGGTCGCTTTGCTTCACACTGTTGGATGCCCCGCCCCCGCCCCCCCCCCGGGTCCCCCACAGCCAACCAGAAACGTCCTATAAGATGGGCCTGTAGGTAGGAGGCCAGTGCGACCTGCAGATTCTCCTTCTCAGGGTTCCTATGGGACTTTTCTGGTCCGGCAGCTCCTCTTCCTGCCGGCTGGCGCCGCGCGCCGAGTGACTTGTGTGTTTTCGTCTTCCTGTTGAAATTGTCCGTGTGCCGAGATACGAGAGTTTAACCCTCACACACACACACACACACACACTCTCTCTGTCGTGGGCCGCCAAGTGAGTTGTCCGCCATTTTCTCTGACCGCTGCAGGAAGAAGTCGAGCCTTTTCGTCCGCCCGACAAGCGAGGGATGAGTAGATGAGTTTGAGGCCAAGGTGAGTTGGTATTCCAAGGACCCTCCGTCCGAAGCTGCTCCCTAACCCCACCTTCCTGACCTGGGGGGGGGGGGGGGACCCTGTTGTTTCGTGCGTGATGATGGGCAGTAGAATCGGAGATCGATGCTGTCGGTGTTATAACCCACACAGTTGTTATTATTGTTTACACGGGTCAACGGGGGCCGCGGCGACCACAGCTGAGCTACGTCAAGTACAGTGTGGTCGCTTTTAGTCGCCTCGATTTAATTACGGTACTGATCGTTTCTAGTTTCTCAGACACATCGGGGGGGGGGGGACAAACTAATTTGTCGCCGCGTGCTGATTTCGGGGGAAGCGGTTGAAGCACAAAGTGGAACGGGGCTTTTTGGGTTTGCTGGATGTTGGATGAAATGTTTGTGTCGTGTTTACTGTGAATGACGGTGATTTGGTGCTGTTGTTAACTGTGTACAGTATAAATGCCGTTTGGATCTGTATTTCTTTTCAGTTCCTTTCTTTCCATTTCTCATGCAAATCATGAATAAATTCATTTTTTCTCATGAAAGCGTCTGGATCTCTTTTAATATAGTTGAATTCATGTACTTATATTTAATTTATATGTAATTATACATTGTAATATATTTCTTTAACGAGTTGAAGACAAGTAGAAACAGCTTTTACCTCCCGTGGAAATAAGACGCGTTTTAATAATACTTTTGCTAGAAAGCTGTTGGGGGGCTTCAGAATGTGGCCTCGGCTGCTTTTGAGTAAATGTTTAAATATTCTTCGCCACTGTTTTCTGGTAGGCTGAAACTACACAGACCCGGGTTCGCCATTGCGGGTCACTAACAGCAACAGGTGCATTGCACAGGCCATAAAAACCCTCTGAGGCGCGAGCGGGGCGTGATTGACACCCCTCTCCGCCAATCGCGCGCCAGTTCACCCTGAACGCGAGAGACCACCCCGCCTTTTAAACCTTTTTCGGGTCAGAACCTGATACCCGCGCCGGCGGTTCCCATACTTATTGGGGTGCGGTCACGTGTGCCACTTTTGACCAGGAAAGGAGCACCGGACCAGCTCGGTCTTGTTGTAGTGGGAGCACCACCTCCGCACAGGCACCTCGCACCCGTGGAATCTGGTCTCTGCAGCCCGCTTCTATCTCTTCCCCCCCCCCCACCCCGAGAACGCGAGACCGCACGTCTCAAGGTGGTTTTTTGCCCTCACGGCGGCGTCTATTTGCTGAATAAGTTTTTATTTTTTCTTTCTATAAGCTGAGGGGGGACGTGAGGTCCTGACAGAGGCTCCATCATGACGACTGTCGAAACGCACATGACGTACAGCAATTCGTACACGATCAACCAGGAAGAGGTGTACATGACCCAGGAGGACGACTGGGACCGGGACCTGCTGCTGGACCCTGCGTGGGAGAAGCAGCAGAGGAAGGTAGGTTTGGATAGCGAGCTCGTGCCGCCGTGCGTAATTACGCACGGATTGAGCCGTGCCCTCACACTCTTGGTGTACATTTTAACAAGACACAAGGTAGGTTTTCGGAATCCGCTGCCTCCCGGTGAATAATAATGTAAAGTTTAAATCAGCCCCGGGGGGGGGGGGGGGACGGGGGGCTTCTTGAGTCCTGCTGGAAGCTGTGTAAGCGGATATTTTGGTCCTTGGAACTTTCTCAGTGTTGTCTTTCAGCGAACGTACCCCTTGCCTTGCGAAGACTGTCTAAATATAATACTACCCTCCCCAGGCTTTCGCCTGCATTCGGGTGATAACGTTTGTCACAGGGGGGGTGAAGGGGTGGGAGGGAGAAACTTGCATTCAGTCATCTTCATTTAAATCCGTTTTCCAGCGATTTGAGTCCGAGATAAGTGTGTCTAAAATGTCTAAATGTACAAAACATCAGTTGTTCACGTCACGGCCTATAAATTAATCCGTTTGTTCATTTAGTTGGTTAATACAGGTACCCCTAAAAAAAAAGAGTAATCTGAAGACATACGGTTTATTAATACCGGATATCGTCAGATATACCGAGCCGTTGCCTAGGTGACCAGCTGGCCCCGCCTTGTGATGGACGAGTTTGACAGGTGCGTTCGATTTAAATGTCTGAGCAGAAAGTCACATGACTCAAAAGTGGGCCAAAAAAAAAATAAACATCCGCAGAGATGAATTGATTTATTTAAAACGCGTATATGAGGTAAAGTTAGCTTAAGGAGCAGCTACGCTAGCACAACTTCGCCGCAGTCGCCATCTTTGTCAGGAGCGGTCACAGTGGCATTCCTCCAGCCTCAGAAATATCGGAGTTCAATCTGAAAATAGCTGTCGGGCAGATCATCATTTCATCATCGGCATCGTTTCTTTAGAAATGACATCAAGTGTCGCTATCTGATGATAAACATTATCTTATTAAGATCAGAAGCATCTCTTCACTCCCACTTGTACGCGGTTCATTCTCACGTTTTCTTATGTTTGTGCCACATTTTACACGTTGTGATCGCGTCTTGTGTAGTAAACGTATTTCAATTCCAACATTTATGTACATGATTACATTCAAGGCAGCTTTCTCAATGTGTGCATGTACAATAATCTTCATTATTTCGATCACTTGAAAAGTAGAAATTTTTATCTGCTAAACCGGAGCCACAATTTTTGAAGCCAAATTCACTAAACACTAATTTATCATAATTTGCATTCACCTCCTCATAACAACAGCATCAGTAAAAAAATAATTTGATTTGATGTAAAGCATGCTGACATAGTACAAACACATCTATACAAATTCAGTACACGTTTCTCTTTGCTGTTTTCTATTGTTTTGCTGGTGGCACAACAACATTCATTTCCCTATAGGGATTATCTAATCTAATAATTTAATCTAATAACATCCAATCTGCACTACTGTGGTGCATTAGAGCGTAGACGAGTAAGGAGCTTTATTTATTTATTTATTTGAACAAGCGTGTTCAGATGTTACTTTGCAGGATGACAGGCTGAGAGGCCTCAACAGATGGTAACAGAGAGCGAGAGAGAGGCTGGTAGATACGCACCCCGGGTTGGTTTCACAGACCTACAAATAAACATCTTCCCTTAAAATACTTTTAAAATTGCCCCCCCCCACTCCCCCTCCCCCCTGCTCCTCTCTCCAGTCGGGGCAAACACTTCCTATATCCCGTTTGTGTCTCTTTCTGACACCTTTTCCTTCCCCGTTTTCCGTCCTTTGGAGGGGTCTGTCTCCCTCCTCGTCGTGCCCCCCCCCCCTTCTCTCTTTTAAAGGCAACGGCTGTATAATCGGCCCCCTGAGAGGGTTTCGATTTTAGTCTTCCCTCCCGGGGGAGCAGGTCATCGTACCCCGCTGCTTTCCTAGGCATTTCAAATCCGCGCCGAGGGAGGTGATCTCAGCGCATGAACGCAGCCAGTGCATCATTTTCGCCATGTAATGAATATGAAAGGAAATCTCAGCGCCACCTGTTCTCTTTATCCTTGAAGTGTCAGTGGGAAACGACTAGTGTCAACGCGCAGCGATGCCGGAGGTCTCCCTCCGTTCTCCTAAAAAGCTGCACCCTCACCAGCTGTAACGCCGACGCATGCGGCCTGTTTGCTCAGAGAGGTTCTGATGCTCCCCGCTGTGACCGGGGTCACGCGTCTCGCATAGTTTACGGGAGTCCGGCTGCTTTTACTGAGCGAGCGACTCGCAGCACAGCCGAGTTTATTGCCGGCAATCGGCTATAAATACGCATTACATGGGGTCGGCGAGCAGCTCGCGGGAGCAGCTGACCTCTTGGCCTTGTGGCGGATGAGTGACGCGTGGACGCAAACTCCAACGCGGATGAAATCGCATGTTTTCATTCCCCTCCGCTAACGTCGAGTGTGGGATTTACTAACGGGGTGAAAATCAAATATGAACTTGCGCCCAAGTGGAATCTATCAATTAAATCACATGCTTTTAATTCAATTATGAACTTGTTATATTTACACGACGCTGCGCTGGATTATCGAATAACCACCCAATGAAATGAAGTAAACCACAGTCCGTCTCGTCTTATTCCCGCGTTTATTCCCACAACAAACACACTGATCCTCGTAATTCTGTAAAAGTTCCTCTCTGCTCTGCTCCACAGGGCATGAAAGGAACGAAGTGGCCAAACGACTGATCATCAGCTCGGAGTGTGATGGAGTTACATGCAGTAATGGGACACCCACCCACTCGAGCGCTGATGCCGCGTCCCCCGCGTGGGGGCGAGCGGAGACGTTTAGGTGCCTCGTAATCACATCTATTCTCGTCTAATCTCATTTTGCACCTTAACAGCCAGACGGGGTCATCGATCCGCACCTGCACCCGGCGTTACGCGAGACAACGCGGACCCCCCCCCCCCCCCCCCCCTCCGGCGTTATCTCCTCCCTGGATGGGGGCGGCATGTGATCGCACGTCTGCAGGACATTCGTCACTTATGGGGGAAAAAAACGCCCGTTTCTCACGTGTTTTCTCGCGCGTGACCCTTTTTTTAAAAAAAGCGTTTCCTGTAAATATACACAATCCACCTCTGCGTTTGTTGGAACTGGAAAGAAGTGACCTCCTGTTTCCTGATACGTCACGTTAGCACGCGCGGTATCCCAGATGCAACTGGCATTTTTAGTGTTCCTGCCGTGACTCACCGACCCCCCGTAGGAGGAAGTTACCACGGCGCCATCACGCGCTTTCTGAAGAATTCAAACGAATAAGACGACCTGAGCCCCCTTCAGGGAGGCTCTCCACCAGGCTTTTCGGCAGGAGTTTGGCGCTTGCAGGCGAATCGTCGAGAAGCGACGGCATCGATCAGCGTGCGACGTGTGTGTGTGTGTGTGTGTGTGTGTGTGTGTGTGGTGTACCGGGTTAAATGTAAGCAGAGAGGTGAGAGAACGCGCGGCCGGATCGAATAGCAGTTGCTATTCCAGAAGCCGTGTCCATGTAGGGAGGCTTCTATAAACTGCTTCAGCGCAGGAGGCCGAAGGCAGGGCCGAGGTGTGTGTGTGTGTGCGTGCGTGCGTATGTGTGTGTGTGTGTGTGTGTGAAATATTGCCCCGTTGGCTGTATTTTATGAGGAATAAAGAGTAAAGTGAGTTCTTATGAGTGATTGATCCTGTGGGTCTGTGAATAAAAGGTTGGATCAGTCAGAGAAAGATTCCCTGGTCGACGGTTCCATTCCAGTTATATCTGCACTTGTGTGTTTGGAGACAAACTAAAAAACAACACAATCTGTGTTGTCGACTCATTTATTTAAGCTTAAGTTGAAGGCGTTCAGAGCTCCGGCCGTCCGGGTTCCTTATTATTCTTCCGGCTCCTCGCTGCGGCGTAAAATGGAGACTCGCAGGCTGCCGAGTCCGTGACCTCGGTAACAAATGACACACGGAGGACACGCCGCCCGCCGAATGTCCCCTCTGGTCCTAATGGTGTCACGCTTGAACGTTGCGTTTATGTCGACCGGCCGGTTTCCTTTTAGTAATGAGACATGCGACGGGTATTTATAGTCCCGGAGCTCCAGTCGACGGTTTGACGTCCGCCGGGATGATGGGCCTCTTATAATAGGACTGAGGTCACCAAGCCGTCGCTTCATAACGGACGAACCGAAGAAGGCCGCCGACTGTGAACCTCAACCTTCAACCGCCGCGTATTTCACCTCATCGTGTTTAGGTGGATGAACAACGGAGCAGGAGGCGTCTGCTAGCCGTTAGCCTCATCTGGCGTGTGCGCCGGACCTTTTTAATTCTAATTACTAATAACTTTATTAACCTCAGACTTTTCATTTAGCCAGACGTAGGATTGAGGTCAGCATGTCGATTAGTTTCGTACTGATTTGTCACCAAATACCTGCTGGACGTTCCCATCGGTCTCAGCTGCACCCATCGCTCAGCGCTAGTTAGCAATTATTAGCATGCTAAGGTGCTAAGCTATGCCGATGAGCACAGTAGATGATACAACTGCTGAACACCAGCGTCGTTAGTCATCGTGAGGATGTTAGCATATGTCTGTTAGCATTAAGCTGAATTGGTTCAACTGATTTCAAATACAAGAAACCAAAATGCGTCGTTCTTTTCGCTAAATTATTGCCACGAACTCTTCAATAAACCCGTTTTCCTGCACTACAGTTGCTGGCGGCTCTTCCAGCGTGAACACACACACACACACAGACACACACACAGACACACACACAGACGGTGCCGTAGAAGCTTGTTGTTGATGCGTCAGCAATCCGGCGGTAATGTGGAGGCACGTGGCGCCGCACGACGCAGCAGGACGCGACTGATGGCGCCACATCGCGTTCCGTTACGTACGAAAAACTCCCCCTTGAATGTTCCCCCGAAAACACAAGCGTCTCGCTCGCCGTTTTCTCTTTCGTCGCCTGCTCTAATCCCCCGTGTGTCCCTCCGGCTCAGCGTCCAGGGGTTTGGACTCGGGCCTGGCGGCGGCGGCGGGCCGGTGGACGGGCCCGTTGTCAGCGGGTCTCTGGGACGTGAGCTCGTTATTCCCTTGGGTAGCCGCGGAAGGTGGAAAGAACGCCCAACACGCCGACAGTGCAGCTGAACAGCTGTTACATGAATAACAAGGATGTAGGAGATCAACAGAAAGCTGCTCCCTGTGTTTTCTGCACTGAGCTGCTGATGTTCGGCAGGAAGGAGAAGCGGCCTGATTTGTTTGTTAGTTTCACTTTGCTGCCGACTTGAAGGTCTATTCTCTGCCTGTGCAGTGTTGTACATTTTAAATCAAGCTGATGACCTTTGGACGAGGCTCCTCGTGGTAACAGAAGGACGATCTGTGTCAGTGCGGCACTTTCCAAGGACGGTGTTTCGTATCTTTTTAATCCACTGGAAATACAAACGAATCCAAGGGAGTAACATGATGAATGATGAAAGTTCCTGCAGCAGTGTGCGCTCCTCGCTGTATGTGTGTTAGTTGAGACGTTTCGGTGGGATTGAAGGGGGGGGTCCCTGTTCCTGTCCCTGGGGCGGCCAGTTCAGGTCGTCTTATTAGCACATCGACCTTCTGGCTCTTATGTCATCGTCCTTGTGGCACCCAAATTCAGAGCTCCAAGTCTGTTTTGAGGGGTATTTAAAGGCCACATAGGGGGGTAATTGGGGAGGGGGGGGGGTGGTCCACCTGTTGCGTGCTGGAATTCCTCTCCCTGTCACTTTATGGATGTCACACACGGACAACAAACGCGGTCTGAGTGAACTGATCTCATCTTCTTTTAGTCTGATTAGATGGTTCCTCCTATTTAATTGCCAATTATTCTTTTTTTGTACAGATATTATTGTTTTTTTTCTGTCTGTATTGTCGACCACCCGACGGGTCATGTGTCCTCGTGCGCGGTCCGTGTTTTGTTTATGTACCTCGCAGGCCGACTGTTCTTACGCTCATCGTCATGGAGATACGGCTACCCGGATACCTGCGGCGTATTGAGGGAAGGCCCGTTGCCATGGCGACACTTTACAAAGCAGTTGGATGGAAGCAGAGAAAATTAGTATTCACGTTTCCAACCCTGGCGAACGCTGCACCAGCATATTTCCCTAATTAGACCCCCCCCTCCTTCTCCCCCCGGCCCTGATTGGAAGGTGATCATTGGAGAAATCATTTGTGTAATTAAATCTGCACACTCGTCCGTGGAAGAAGACCGGACCTCGGCGAGGGTCGGGGGGGGCGAATTGAGACCACACCGCCGGTTTAATCAATTATCCTCCTAATTAGCAGAAATCTAATTAGCTTCAGAAGATCATTCAATGTTCTTGTAGTTTTTCAAAGGATGACGTCTGCTGATGCGAAGCTCAACATTTACTCACTTTGCAGCTTCAAAATAAAAGCGATTAGTTAGAGTTCCGTCACAGTTAAAGTCCGACTCCAACAAAGTTATTTAAGTTGTTCACACTCACACTAAACAGTCCTTTTTATTTAGTGCGAGGCCCTCAGCGGTACCTGACCCCCCCCTCAAGGCCCTCAGCGGTACCTGACCCCCCCCTGGTTTGCATCAGCTCTTTAACAGCTGAGCTGGCTGACATTATTAAGAGCTGTGTGTGTGTGTGTGTGTGTGTGTGTGTGTGTGTGTGTGTGTGTGTATCAGCTGTATTGAGGGTGAGCAGCCATGATTCCCCCTGGGGGAGGCGGTGTGGGAGGCGTTGGGGGGGGGTCGAAAAGACAGGCATTCAGCTGGGCCACTGTGACCTCATTTTACAAGAAGGACCTGGTCGCACTTGGCCGGGCCAGACCGACAGGTGTGTGCAGACAGAGGAGAGACCGGTGGGGGGAGAGAGGGAGGGAGAGGGGGGGGGGTGTAAGACCACCACCGGCTTTAAAAGCCTCCCGTGGGACGACAGCGCATCAGACGCAGAGGACAGGAAGTGGTCGCCCCCCGTTTAGTTTCCGACGGCCTTCCTTTGATGTCAGCGCCCTCTCACCCCTCTCACCCCCTCTCACCCCCCTCCCCTTCTCCAGTTATTATTTTATATGGCGGGAGGTGTTCTTCAATCCACCCCCATCGCTCCGTCTTGGACTCTTACAGTTCGCCTCAGGAATCCTGCCTTCTCAGCTGTCCGTGGTGTCCCATGGCAACCCGATTTAGCCTCCCCCTCCCTCCCCCCCTTTACTTCTCAGTCTCTCCTTCTCCTCCCCCTTACTTTACTTGCTCGCTCCATCGCTCGCCTCCTCTCCTCGGCCTGGTGGCCCCCGTGCGGCGGATTAGGAGCCAGTCTAAATTTGGTCATGCATGGCGAAGGAGTCGAGCACCTGCTGGGACCCCCGCGGCCTCCTCTCCCCTCCGGACTCCTTACATCAAATTACACCGGGGGGCATTCCTCCCCCTCCTCCCTCCCCCACCAGTGTCCTTCTTTAGCCGAGCTGAGATTCAGTCTGGATCGAATAATGTTTTTTTAAAGTTTCCATCAGCCAAGTATTCCGCAGACTAAAGGTGTATTACATCGTTTTTTGATGTAGTTGTAATATGTAATATATTTGATGATCATGTTTAAAAAAAACTCCTCAAATGTGAAGACAAGGACGGCGAGTCAAGATGACGTAATCAAAAGAGCAACTGTCAGTCGCTGGACGGCCGACGGCATCTTGTTCGGCCTCACGTGGGAGCACACGCGTGTGCAGCGTGTTGAGTTTGGTTCTGTGTTGATTCAGGAGATCAATGCAGGCCGCTTTAAATTGATAAAATGGTTGAATTTCAGTTCAGAAGTTACAGAGACTTTAATGTTGCTTTTATTCGATTATTTCGTCAGTCAGTTTCTCTTGTTGCCAAAAATATCAGATTAAAATCAGATGAAAAAACGTTTTTTATTCTTGTAAAAGACAGTACTTTGCTTGTAAAGTTGGTTTTGTGTTCATCGAGTGTGTGTGTGTGTGTGTGTGCGCGGTCAGAGAGGTGTAACCGTCTCCATCTCCTTCACCCCCTCAGACCTTCACAGCTTGGTGTAACTCCCACTTGAGGAAAGCCGGCACACAGATTGACAACATCGAAGAGGATTTTAGAAATGGCCTCAAACTCATGCTGCTGCTGGAGGTCATATCAGGTGACTCATCAACACACACACACACATCGAATTACATAACACAACAACAAATGACATTCTGTGCTTTGATGCTGGTCGGAAACTCTTAAATGATCATTTGAGTATCATTTTAACTTTAATCCAGTGATTAATACGATATTACAGCAGTTATGCTTCATAGAGACGATTAACTGTGACAAATGATCGTCCTCCTCTTTCAGGCGAGCGGCTGCCCAAACCCGACAAGGGCAAGATGCGTTTCCACAAGATCGCCAACGTGAACAAAGCTCTGGACTTCATCTGCAGCAAGGGGGTGAAGCTGGTGTCCATCGGCGCTGAAGGTGAGCGTCCCGCTTCGCTCGGTGAAGTTCACGGGACACACGCGAGGAATGAACCGCTTTATTATTTAAAGACGCGATCCTGCATCAAAACGGCACCATTTTCCAGCATTTTGCAAATTCATTTATTAACATTGTTATTAATGAATCTAAATGAGATATTCTCTAAACGAGAGACGCACCGCAGAGGAACAACTGAAGAGATTGGTGGTGAAAATGCTCCTAATCGGCACTTTAAACAATCCTTGTGGCTCAGATGTCGGTGATCCTTTAAATCTGCCCGAGATTTCACCTCGCCGAGTGAAGTCAGTGTCTTTAAAAATAGTTCCTTTCACAGCCAAGATTCCTTGAGAGCCTTCAGGCCGCGTGAAATCTAATTAGTCTCAACTGCAGAAATCCATCAACAGCTTTTATAATTTCTCTCACGCCGTGTGTGTGTGTGTGTGTGTTTGCAGAAATTGTCGACGGCAACGCGAAGATGACCCTGGGAATGATCTGGACCATCATCCTGCGCTTCGCCATCCAGGACATCTCCGTGGAAGGTGCGACCCGACAAATCACCTTCCTCACACCTGCGACGCTCATCTTCACCTTCAGAAATATGAAGAACAACGCTGCAATGAAACACTGTTTGTTGCAGAGACGTCCGCTAAGGAGGGTCTGCTGCTGTGGTGCCAGAGGAAGACCGCCCCCTACAGGAACGTCAACGTGCAGAACTTCCACATCAGGTGGGTCCACATCGCCGAGCCGCGGGCGCCGAACCGGGGACGCGCCGCCGCCGCCGCGTCTCCTTGCGCTTCCCTGCTTTGTCCCACCGGTCCACTCTGACACTTCCTTCTCCTGTTGTCGCGGCTCAGTTGGAAGGACGGCCTGGCTCTGTGCGCCCTCATCCACAGACACCGACCGGACCTCATCGACTACGCCAAGCTGAGAAAGGTGCCGTCGCCTTTGCTCTCTCCCTCTTCTGACTGGCTGTGGTTTCTTTCTTCATACCGAATTTACAAACCTCTCGTCTTTCATTTCTGACGTAAACTGAAAATTCCAGTTTATTGTATGAATGGGATTTTAACGGGAGACGTCAATACCAGTATGTGAATATTACGCCCTGTGTGATCTGGATGTTCAGGGTATAAATCCTGTTTCCTCCCTCTCGTTGGCGGCGTGCGCCCGTAGGATGACCCCATCGGGAACCTGAACACCGCTTTCGAGGTGGCTGAGAAGTTCCTGGACATCCCCAAGATGCTCGACGCCGAAGGTCAGACTGGGAAAACTGTGACGCCGAAACGACGACAAATTCTGCTCGTCTGTGTTAACGTGATCATTGCGTCCTTCCCCCAGATATCGTGAACACGCCCAAGCCCGACGAGAAGGCCATCATGACCTACGTGTCCTGCTTCTACCACGCGTTCGCCGGCGCTGAGCAGGTCAGCCGGCGGCGTAGCGATGTTCTCTATGGTCCTACTACAGCGGAAGTGTCACGTTGGATATTAACTGTTACACACATCTCCACCCCCCCCGCAGGCTGAAACCGCTGCCAACCGCATCTGCAAGGTGCTCGCCGTGAACCAGGAGAACGAGAAGCTCATGGAGGAGTACGAGAAGCTGGCCAGCGAGGTGAGAAGTGGAAGCTTTTAATTAAGTACAATAACGGCGTTAAGTAGACGTCTACATGGTCGTGACGGTGAGCGGCATTCTCCCCCCCCCCCCCGCGCCCCGCTGCAGCTGCTGGAGTGGATCCGCCGCACCACCCCCTGGCTGGAGAACCGCGCGGCGGAGCAGACCATGCGCGCCATGCAGCAGAAGCTGGAGGACTTCCGGGACTACCGCCGCATCCACAAGCCGCCGCGCGTGCAGGAGAAGTGCCAGCTGGAGATCAACTTCAACACCCTGCAGACCAAGCTGAGGCTGAGCAACCGGCCCGCCTTCATGCCCTCCGAGGGCAAGATGGTGTCGGTGAGGAGGAGGCGTCCCCGCCGGCGCCACGTTTAAGTCGGCCCGAGATGTGGCCGTCATTTGACGACGCCTCTGTCTGTCTGTCTCCACCAGGACATCGCCAACGCCTGGAAGGGTCTGGAGCAGGTGGAGAAGGGCTACGAGGAGTGGCTGCTCACCGAGATCCGCCGCCTGGAGAGACTCGACCACCTGGCCGAGAAGTTCAAGCAGAAGTGCTCCATGCACGAGTCCTGGACTGGAGGTGGGGGGGAGGGGGGCGTCGGGGGCAATTATTTGTGTGTTCAAAAAAGTCTTTCGTATACCTTGAGTCACAACGTCTTCTGGATGCCGAGAAAGCGAAAGCTAAGATCAAACATCCGTGCTTTCCAGGGAAGGAGGACCTGCTGTCCCAGAAGGACTTTGAGTCGGCCTCCCTGATGGAGATCAGAGCCCTGATGAGGAAGCACGAGGCCTTCGAGAGCGACCTCGCCGCCCACCAGGACAGAGTGGAGCAGATCGCCGCCATCGCCCAGGAGCTGAAGTAAGAACAAATGGAAAAAAGGGACATCCGGTGTGTGTGTGTGTGTGTGTGCTGGGGGACGTTCTCGCTCTAAAGACGCTGACGAGGACGGAGGAGACGTCGGCTTGAGGCTAGTTGGAGGAGAAGCGGAGTCTGCTTGTCGTGACGGGCGAGCTGAGAGGAGCAATCATATTAACGAGGGGTGAAGAGAGGAAAAAGGGGCCTCGTGCTGCAGCAGAACCCTCTGATCCCTCCTTCCCTTTCTCCTCGTCTCCTCCAGCGAGCTGGACTACCACGACGCCGCCACGGTCAACGCCCGCTGCCAGGGCATCTGTGACCAGTGGGACAACCTGGGGACCCTCACCCAGAAGAGGAGGGACGCACTGGAGGTACGGCCGGGGACAACCTTGAGGATGCGACAGTAAAATGGCTCTTAAAAGATCTTAAAAAGTTATTCAGCTCCACCTCCGGTGTGTTGGCAGCGCGTGGAGAAGCTGTGGGAGACCATCGACCAGCTTTACCTGGAGTTCGCCAAGAGGGCGGCGCCCTTCAACAACTGGATGGACGGAGCCATGGAGGACCTGCAGGACATGTTCATCGTGCACAGCATCGAGGAGATCCAGGTAAAGGACGAGGTCACATGATGGTTGACTTGAATAAATCTCATTTCTGGTGCATTTTAAAGAAGGAAATGCTCCAAAAAGTGTAACTCTGCCTCTTCAGAGCCTGATCACCGCTCACGACCAGTTCAAGGCCACTCTGCCGGAGGCCGACAAGGAGCGCATGGCCACCATGGGCATCCACAGCGAGATCCTGAAGATCGCCCAGACCTACGGCATCAAGCTGTCCGGAATCAACCCGTACACCAACCTCTCCCCGCAGGACATCAGCACCAAGTGGGACACCGTGAGTTGAACCTAAAAAAGGAGGTTGCGGCGTTTTCGCGCCCGCCCGCCCGCCGCTGCGAGGAAGACCCCCGACCCCCTCCCCTCCCTGTGACTCGGCTGTGCTCTCCTGCAGGTGAAGCACCTGGTTCCCCTCAGGGACCAAATGCTCCAGGAGGAGGTCGCCAGGCAGCAGGCCAACGAGAGGCTGAGGCGCCAGTTCGCCGCCCAGGCCAACATCATCGGACCCTGGATTCAAACCAAGATGGAGGTGCGTGGCTGTTAGAAACACTGCAGACGGTCTGAGGTACCGACACAAATACGACCAAGGCAAAAGCATCTTTTTACATGTTTTTATTAATAATGGTGACAATTGTGGAAAAATGTAAAAAGACAGAACAATGAAACATGACGAGAGGCTACTTTGAATAAGGAACATCATTCAATACGAACAAATTTACGCCCCCCCCCAACGCTGCAGGAGATCAGCCACGTGTCCGTGGACATCGCCGGCTCCCTGGAGGAACAGATGAACAGCCTGAAGCAGTACGAGCAGAACATCATCAACTACAAATCCAACATCGACAAGCTGGAGGGAGACCACCAGCTGAGCCAGGAGTCCCTCATCTTCGACAACAAGCACACCAACTACACCATGGAGGTACGGCGGCGGCGGTGAACCCCCCTCCCCCTCTTCCGCCCTCCCCTTTTTTAGTCTGTGAGCATCTCTTCCCCCCCCCCCCTTGCAGCACGTGCGCGTCGGCTGGGAGCAGCTGCTCACCACCATCGCCAGGACCATCAACGAGGTGGAGAACCAGATCCTGACCCGCGACGCCAAGGGCATCAGCCAGGAGCAGCTCAACGAGTTCAGGGCCTCCTTCAACCACTTCGACAGGGTGAGGCCTTCGCCGACTCCGCCGAGACGGCGCTTCCGTTTGATCTCCTTGACCGTTGCCAGTGAGTCACGCTCTCCTTTCGCTCGCAGAAGAGAAACGGCATGATGGATCCGGACGACTTCCGCGCCTGCCTCATCTCCATGGGCTACGACCTGGTGAGTACAACGCGCACATGCGACGGTTAAGAACGAGCGGGTCCGCTCCCCGCACCTTTTAAACTGAGCTGGCCGGCGCCCTCCCGACAGGGCGAGGTGGAGTTTGCGCGCATCATGACCCTGGTGGACGCCAACAACACGGGCGTGGTGACCTTCCAGGCCTTCATCGACTTCATGACCCGCGAGACCGCCGAGACCGACACGGCGGAGCAGGTCATGGCCTCCTTCAAGATCCTGGCCTCGGACAAGGTGAGCCGACGGGGAGGCGACAGGCGCGCACCTTTCACGCCACGTAGCCGCCAACACGTTGAGCCCCTCCCCCCTCTCTCCTCCCCCAGAACTACATCACGGTGGACGAGCTGCGCCGGGAGCTGCCGCCCGATCAGGCCGAGTACTGCATCAGCCGCATGACCAGGTACATCGGGGCCGACGGCTCCACCGGCGCCCTGGACTACATCTCCTTCTCCAGCGCCCTCTACGGGGAGAGCGACTTGTAGACGCCGCCGCCCCCCCTCCCCCCTTCTCCTGTGTGCGGAGAGAGCGGCGACGCCTCCTCCACCGTCCTTCTATGCGATCAGTGTTTCCCTCTTTCAAATCTTAACTTTCTTTCCCCCCGCCCCCCCACCCCCACCTCCTCCTTAACCCCCACCCAAAAAAAAAACACTGTCCAGAGAGGCCGAGAGTAGAACGCTTTGCTCAAATCAAGCTGCTTGGACGCCTTTTAAGGGAGCAGGAAGGTGTCACCACGCCGGCGTTCAGCATCAGCAAAGCCTCCTGCTCTCCCCCCCTCTCTCCCCCCCTCTTCCTCAGATGACCTATATTTTTTAGAAGGGTAATTACAGAAGAAAAAGTGATTTTAAAAAAAGGAAGAAAAAAAAAAGAAGCCCGTGGGTTGTGTAATTGTGCAGATGCATGCTAGGAAGTTTAGAAACAGCGTCCCGGAGTCTCCGACTCGTCCTTGAGCGGCACACGCCGCGTCTCCTGTGGACGCTCGCGTCACAGAGGAGCAGGTCGGCCGCTCGTACTTAACCAATAAAACACGACAGCACTGTGAAACCCGAAGATCTTAAAGCCGTGAGCTCAGGAACAAGCGGAAGGGTGAGCGGGAGCACGTAGACGTTAAAATGCAGCGAGGGGAGCGAAGCACTGTGGGTAAATTAGACTAATGAGGAGAGGAGGGGCCGCGGCTGGATGGGGACTTAAGAGCGAAGACAGAACGATTCCCACGCACCTCCCTCCAGACAGCGCTGCGGCCCGATTTAACACATGGGGGAGGGGGGGGGAGGCGTCGGGCAGCGAGAGACGACGAGGGGCGCGAGGGAAGTTTCGGACAAAATAAAGAGTCAACAGTGTACGTTTGACCGCAGACGGGGGGGGTTTGGTCCCACAGTGAGGTCGACCACGAGTCAACATTTTAATTTCATGTGCTCCATTTTCACTCATTCTGTCCGTCATCACAGACGCCACAAATAAAAGAATTTCACTTTCACACAGTTCCTATTTAAAAAAAAAAAAAAACCTCAACTTGGAATAAAAAAGAAAAAGTATGTTACTAAACAGGAGTCGTGTTTTCTTTTCCAAAAAGCACCTCGTGTTTCACGTCGTTTCAACGACCACAGAAAGACCATGTGAGTAGCTGCCTGACCTCTGACCCCCCCCTCCCCCCCCTCCTCCCCCACGTGCCGAGGTCACTCGTCTGGGTCGTCGGGGTTGTCGGGGTCCCAGCAGAGGTGGGAGGGGAAGTGCAGGCCTCTCTGCTGGGCGTGGCGAAGCCAGCGCTCCTCGTCGCCGCGGTGCGTCAGGAACCTGCGGCCCTTCCGCTGCTCGAACTCCCTGAGGTCACACCACAGCTGGAAGTCCTGCAGGGGGGGGGGGGATATATTGTATTGTATGAACTGGGGGGGGGGCAAAAAAACAGATGCTGCCCCACAAGCAGAAGCATCAGAGTAAGGAGAGCAGTTCCACCTGCAGCCACGAGTGTCCCAGTGTCTTCCCCACGCTGAACTCCGTCGGACCGACACCTGCAGCAAGGTGTTGATGAGACTCACGGCTGCAGAGCAAGAGAGAGCCCTTTGACTCAGTCCGTCCTCTGGAGACACCCAGTGGACAACAGCAGGGACGCTTAAAGCAAAGCGAGTGTAACGGAATCTGAAATGATCCGATACTCCCAAAACCTAGAAGCGGCAAATCGTCCCGCTGCACGATGCATTCAAGGACGCGCGGACATTTGAGCTCCGTACCCTCCAGAGAGATGGAGGCCCACGGCTGCCGCGGGTACATGAAGGCGGCGTTGGTGATCTGCTGCCGGATGTCCTCGTCCTCGTTGAAGGGGAACGTGCCGCTCAGGCTCACGTACATGACGACGCCCACCGACCACATGTCCAGCGAGCGGTTGTAGCCGTTGTTGCTGATCACCTCGGGCGCCAGGTAGGCCGGCGTGCCCACCACCGAGCGGCGGAAGGACTTCTCGCCGATGATGCGGGCGAAGCCGAAGTCGCACAGCTTCACCTTGAACACGTGGGGGGGGATTTAAAAGCGCCCGTCAAAACGAGTAGCCGCACCGAAAGGTGTCGAGAAAAGGCGCGGGGGGGGGGAGGGGCCCACCTGAGGAAGAGGGTCGGCGGAGGCCAACAGCACGTTCTCGGGTTTCAGGTCGCAGTGGGCGACGTGTTTGAGGTGCAGGTAGCGCAGAGCCTCCAGGATCTGCAGCACGGCGAGGAGGAGAGTTATAGAAACACATCTGTTTAAAGATACAGCTGTGATCGGGTCGTCCTCTTCTGCCCGATTGATCCGAGCACTCGGGGTCCGGATCGTATCGGTGAGTGAGTCCTGAACGTACATTGAACGCAGCAGAGGAGTCTCACCTGCGCCACCAGGAAGCGCGTGGTGCGTTCAGGGAGTCGGCCGTGCTCGCTGGACAGAATCATCTCCAGCATGTCTCCGTGGAGCTTCTCCATGACCACGAAGACGTACTCCACCGACTCGAACATCCCCTCCAGCAGCACCACGCCGAGGTGGGACAGGTTCTAGGGCAACACGCGACCACACACACGACCACACACACACACACACACACACACATTAGATGTTACGGACAATAACGCCACGTTAAGAATGGGAATAAAAGATGCACAAGTACCTGCAAGAAGGCCACCTCGTTCCTCAGCTGTCGCTCTTGTTTGGTGGGGAAACGCGTCTTGTCGATGACTTTGATGGCGACCGGCCGACCCGACTTCCTGTGCGTGCCTGGTGAACGACTCCCATTACTTATTTTAGTGGCTATTTTTGCATTAAGTCCACTCTAGTGAGGCACTTTGAGTTGGTAATTCCTTAAACGTCTCTAATAACCGAACCACGTGATCACCTTTGTACACGACTCCGAACTGTCCGGAGCCCAGAACCTCGTCTGTGGAGATCTGATACACCGAGCTGATGTCCTGCACACACACACACACACACACACACACACTTCAACACGGACCGACACGCCTCTGTGTGCAGAACAAGGTCACTGGAATGACCAATGAATCGATGAGTTTAGAGCGGATCCTCACCACGCCGCCGCTGCATAAATCTTTATCTGTAATCAGAGTCGTTCACACAGAAACAATAATCTTAATTAACTTTTCACATTTAAAGAATATGCCAGTCTGAAGGTTGCCTGACTCAGTCCTTATATAATCCGGATATTCTTTCCTACAGTCAGACAATAAATCGATACAACTATTCGCGGTTAGCTCACCCGCGCTCTCGTCGCCTCCCCCGCCGCCGCTCGCCATGGGCATCAGGGCCTGGCGCACGGCGCGCTCCCAGGCCGCGCTGCCGCTTCCGGCCAGCACGCAGTACACCAGCGAGGCCGTGACCACCTCCAGGGTGTGCGCCCTGTTGCCCGGCAACGAGGGCACGGCGAGCTGGGCGGGGCCTCGGACCTCCAGCACCTCGGACAGCGAGATCTCCTGCGGAGAGACAATCGCGCTTCATGCTGAGCGACGAGGAACACACAGGAATTCAATTGTTCTTTTAACTTCAATTGCTGACTTTTGAAACTGAATAAATTTGACCCATAAACACCCAAACAAACCGTTTATTCTACTTTTCAAGCACTTAAAGTGCAAAAAACAAACTAACCCATCCAGACTAAACGTGTAAATGCGGTGATGTTGCTGCAGCGCCGACCTTGTAGTACTTGGTGCTGCTCTCGTTCTGGTACAAGGTGACGCTCTTCCAGTCCAGGATCCAGTAATGACGTTTCCTCTGTTTCACGAGGCGCAAAGAGGACAGGAAACGAAAAAGCGCATGTAAGTGTGTCGTCCCGAAACACTCCAGGGTCTCGTCCCCCATCAGCACACGCGTGTGCGCGTCTCACCAGCGTGTCCGTGTCGGTGTGATGCAGCAGCCATCCTTCCCTCAGGACTCCTCCCGCTCTCTTCTTGGAGTGATGCACCGACTGGACGAGCCTCATCAGGGGGATGTTGCTGCTGAAGCACGGACTGACGGAGCGACAGGAGACAGAAGAGGCGGGTTTAGGGTGGAGCGCCTCGGCCCTGCAGTACCTACCGAGGGCCTCTAGGTGGCGGGAAGCGCGCGGCCCATTTAGAATAGAATTCAGAGACGCTAAGAGGACGGGAACGATGAGTCACCTTTAAAATGCGACGACATCGTCAGAATAAATTAGCGGCCCTCTGACCTCATCGGCTCCCGCTGCTCCTCCTCCTCCTCGTCCTTCGTCTCGGGCGCCCGGTCTCCGTCCGTGGACATCTCGTCGTCGGAGACTTCTAGTGTCGTCGTGCTGGTGAGCTCCGAGTCGTTGTCCTCCGGGTCCGCCGGGCGGCCGGGGCCCGCCGCTGTGCATTCTGGGAAAGCCACGGGCTCAACATGCTGACGTCTGACAGCTAATAATCCCACATCCCCCCCCCCCCCCCCTCTCTACCTGAGCACTGCAGCCCCTGTCTGAAGAGGCCTTTGAGCAGCCGGGGGCAGTGCTGGCACACGGTGGGTTTGGTGTAGCTGTGGATGTGGAAGGGGTGAGGGACCTGAGCCCCGGCCATGTCCCCGTAGCCGATCCCCAGCCAGACGGGGGGCTCGACCCAGGACACGGGCCTGGAGGCCTTGGACATGCTGATCTGGGGGACAGGGGACGGACGGACGGGGAGGAACAGGCTCCAGGAGGAAACGGAAGCGGCTTTCGTCACGCTGGCTTTACCTCTTCCAGGGTGCCGCCCGCCTGATTGGACAGGGAGTGCGTCCGCGGGCGGGGGGGCGGGAACAGGGAGAGGCTGGTGCTGACCTGACGCCGCGCGCGGCTGCAGTCGTTGCTCAACATGAAAGCGCAGCGTTTGTGGGAGTCCAACCCGCAGCCTGCAGGGTACACAACAAATATTCATTTTCCTCGCAGCCGGTGACGGGAAGCGAGCGGCGGCGGCTGCTGTTGCTGCTTTTACCGTCGCACTTTAACCCCTGCCGGACGAGGCCCCACAGCATCTCTCCACAGTGGTGGCAGAAGGTGGGGGTCCGGTACGAGTGGACCACCAGGGCGTGCGGGCGGATCCTCATCTCGGTCACCGACGCCGATCCTGAGTCGCACAGATGGCGGAGAACAGTCAGCGCCGCGGGTTAAATACACCCTCACTCAGTGTTTCTATTCGACGCCACCAGAGGAATCAGTGGGGGAACTTCTTAAGCCCCCCCCCCCCCTCACGACGGACAACGTGCACTCAGTTTGCATATCCTTTTTAAACAACGGGGTTCCTTTTTTTTCGGGGCCGACCTGCGATGATGACCTCGATGAAGTCTCCATCCTGCAGCTCGTCCTCCTCCGTCAGGCGAAGCAGCCGCTGCTCCGAGGAGGGTTGGTGTCTGAACAGGAGGGTTTTCTCCCCGACGCCGACCACGCTGCAGTCTGGAGCCTGAACACACACACACACACACACACACACACACTTACCAGTGCTGCTAGAAGCAATTAGCTCATGCACAGATCTCTATATGTTAATACAGAGAAACAGCAAACATCACATACACCAAATCTCCCAAATTTGCGTGCAACTCGTGTAACTGAGTGAGTTACTGTCGTGTGGTCAGAAAGAAGACGATTCAGTGCAAGATACTTTTTTTTTTTTAAACCACACATCTAGCAGGACTCTGCAGGACGCTTCTGCGAACGACCTCGCTGTGCTCGGCAGAGGGGAGATCAAACAGGACCACAGGCGGCTGAGATCATTCTCACGGTGCAGGAGTCCTTCAGAGGAAGGTCTCGTAGTGGGGAGGGACAGAATCACAGAGGTCCTGCAGATGCATTTTTTTTAGAAAAGTGCCATTGAAAAACGATGCGATATGGGAATGTGTCCTTCTGGCCATCAAACGGTGAAGATGAAAGAGGTGGAGATGCAGCTGACCTTCTGCCTGGAAACTGAGCGAGGCAGACCGCGTGTGCGCGTTGCAGACAGCGGGGGGAGGAGACGCTGTGGTTGGAAAGTTTGCTTCGCTCTTCGCGACCACAGAGGGTTTCTGCATCCGCGTCGAGCCTGCGCCTCCCGGGGGGGGGCGCGCGCCTGACCTCAGCCCCGCTTACAAAGCGCCCTGCTGAGAACACGAGCAGCTACTTCCCCACCGTAAACCCACGCGAGTGCTTTCAGGGTCCCGAATGTCGGTTAACAACCCGTCCCGTGATGATTGAGACAACGTGTTTCCGCCTCGTTAGATCAGGTGTATTAAGATGTGCGGGGGGGGGGGGTCCAGAAGGAACGGAGCCTCTCCCATCATGAGGAAACATCTGCGCGGAAGGAGACCTCTTACCTTGCGCTCTATGATCTCGGCGGCCAGCCTCTTGGCATGGCGGTAGGTCCGGTTGCCGGCGGGGACCCGGACCACCTCCCTGAAGAGGCCCAGCTGGAACTGGACCAGAGCCGAGGGGCCGGTGGGACCGGAGGGAGTCGCTGCGAACATGGAGGACGGTCCCGCGGCAGCATGGGACGAGTCTGCGGACGAGACATTGACGGAAAAGAAACGCGGTTATACGCGCGGCTCTTCTGCGTAAATTTAGCAAGTGACCCGTTTAAAGACGCAACAGAAGTGAATTCACAGCATCCTGATCAGACACATCGGGGCGGGGGGGGGGGGTTCTGTTAACTTTCCACATGAACACCTGGGAAAAGTCCACGTGAGGGGCCGTACTTCCTCACCTGGCGTGCGTGGAGCTCCGTCTGTGACCCCGATGTGACGGCTGCAGCCGCTCGACGTGCGCTCTGCTGCGTCTGCGTTCCTCTCCGCGGGGCTCGTCCATCCGGGGCAGGAAGTCGCACGCGCACGCACGCACACACACGCACACGCACGCACGTCTGGGGAAGCTGCAGATACGGGTAACGCCCCTTCAGCTTCAGCCCGTCAGTCAATGCAGAAAATAAATAAATGTACAAGAGACAGGCGGTAGTTTGAAAAGTGGAGTTTGTATTTATTGAACATTTTTGATAAAATACAGGTCGACGGCTTCACGATCAGATCCATCAGGGTCTCCAGCACTACAGCACGTGTGGAAACTGACCTCCTCAAATATTTGGGCATTGGAGAACCAAAAAAAACAATCACATTTGTTTGAAACTTTGGTTTTTGTTTCAGTGTCTCAGCTGTTGAAATGAGCAACATTACTGCATGAATGTGTAGTTATCGGGTTATGAGCACAGCGCGGGATGCTTAGCGTCGGTGAGGAGAGGAACCCGCTGGGACCTTTAAATAGTTTAAATCTACAGCGCGATCACTCAGCTACGCGGTGTCGACGTCTTCACAAAAAGGAGCATTCCGTACATTATTTGCTGCGGACGACACTTAAAGCACTTCTCATCCTGCTTTAGCAGCTCAGGCTCCTTTACAAACACGGCCTCACAGGCCGGGAAGGGATGAGGCGACTCTGCATAATGAGACGGGTACATTCGGTTCTCTTGGTGCTGCTCGTGTTCTGGTGGAGTTTGCACAAACACAAGGAGGGAGAAGAGAAACAGAAAAAAGGTCCCCGGACCCCCGAAAATCCAACAAACATTCAAATGATCAGTTTCCAGCACTTTCCACATGAGAGCTCAGATCTAAAAAAACAGGAGAAGCACAACATTCGATTGCTTCGTACAAACACGTCACACATTCAGAGGCGGCAAACGAAGGAAAACGGATTCCCGCTGACGGCGGTGAACAGGAGGCCGCGGCTGCGTTGATGCATCAAACATCCGGATTCAAACAGACAGTATTTTTCCTTCATCACGTCCACGAGAGGAAAAGGGACCTCGCAGGAATGATTGTTGTGTTGGATTTGACTTATTATTTGTCAATTTAAATTGAAATCGATGGGCCTTTTAAATAGATTTTCCACCAACAGAGAAGCGGATGACTTGGACAGTCCCGTGACCAGTAGGAGGCGCAGTGGAGACAAACATTTAATCCTCAGAGTGACGTTCTAACAGATTACACGGAACCATTTTTCCAAATGACAGATTTAAAAGAGTGAGCTACTAAATGTATCAGCAGTGTTGCCTCTCCTCTCGTCTTTCTCTCCCTCTCATCAACCTCTTTGACCCGTCAGTGTAAACAGAAAAGAAGAAAAAGTGCACTATATACAAAGAATGAAGATTTGAATAATTTAAAACTGTATTTACATAAAAAAAAGGCAAAACGTGAGGTTTGAATGGTTGGTTGCGAACGCCTCCTTGCTCGCGTCGTCTTGTGCGCCTTTTGAGCGGGTCGCATCGTCTCGGCCGTCGGGGAAATGCAGTCGGGCTCAGCGGGCGCTTCGTGCTACTGGTGAGATATACGGCGTACGTTTGGCCGGCGATGGGAGGACGCTGCTCGGGTGCAGAGCTTCTAGTAAGCGGCATGCTGATTCGTGGGTATAAACGCTCTCTAGTGGCGGATGGCGGCGGTTTGTACAGCGACTCGGTGTCTCACAGGACGACGTTTAGTGTGGGAATGACTCGGGTTTTTTTTTTTTGTTGTGTTCTCTAAAAGAAAATATGCTGCAAGTGTTTGATCTCGCTTGGAGCTACGAGTGTATCGGACCAAGGTGGGGTAGGCGGGGTGGGGGGGGGGGCGCTTTGCGTCTCCCGAGGCCCGCCTCCCGTCTGGGACTAGCCAATCAGGGAGCTGCGTCTGGATAGGTCCACGTTGCTGGCGCTCAGTCCCCTGCAGTCCGACAGGCCCGAGTTCGCTTCCTGGAAAGCGATCAAGTTGGGTTAAAACTACATGTTGCACAGTATGTGGATTATGAAATGATATTCTAATTTAGTTATTGAAGTACAATGTAACATAATAATATGGAAGAACATCTACTCCTCGTGCAGGACTATGACATATGAGAAGAACAACACCTGTGTGGTCTCCTCGGTGCTCTTGTTGAGGAAGTTGAGGGAGCTCGCTCTCTTCATTCTGAGCAAAACAAAACAATGATTAGAATTAAAAGCATATCAGAAATATTAAAGACAAAACACAAAGCTCCTCGAATGCGAGAGATCGTTTGGTTAGAGATTGAGTGTAAATGATGTGTAATAAATGTGTCATCAAGGTCAACTTGTTTACTGGCAACAATGTTAAAAGGATGTTTCTAAGGAAGCTTGAGTTTTTTTCTTTTGACCATATTGTATCAAAGTAAAGGAAGAATCCCTGTTTGTTGGTCGGCCGGTCGCAGCCCTGAGGCCCCTCGTCTCACCCCGGGTTGCGGGGTTCTTGTGGGCCGCTCCCCTGCAGCTTCTTCACCAGCATCTCGCTGCTCCTCCTCAAAGCGTCGCGAATCTTCCCGAAGGAGCCGCTGCGGCGCAGAGACCCGTTGCCGTCCTGAGGAGACCGGAGACAAAACGAAAGCAGCACCACGTCGGCGCTTAGCGGAGACAATTAAGGACGAACGCGTCCCGTTTGGGGCTTTGGGATGACGGCGTCACCTCACCCCGTTCCACTCGGCGGAGTCGTCGCCCTCGCCGTCCCCCCGCTGGCCCGCTTGTCCGTTATTTCCCTCCCTGCTGTGCCGTCGCTCTCCCCCTCTGCCGTCCTTCAGCAGCTCCACCACCTTACTCTGGTTGATGGCGTCGATCCCCTGAGCGACAAGAAGAGACGAGTGATTAAAAAGAGAGAATCAAAAGGAACGTCACAGCTTTTTCACACAGCGTATCTACGACATTTACGCCGATCTGCGCTACTTCCTCACAGCTGGAAGCCATGCTGAGCGGATCGGGCTCCCGTTGAAGGAGCCCAGACCTCCACCCCGCCGGCAGTGACTCCGCCCCTTTGTGCTGCACCTGTTTACGGGACTTGCTGCCGCACTCCTCCAGGGTTTCTGCTGCCTCCAGCTTCCCCTGACGACGGTACAACGCGCCCAGGCTTTTGAGGGTGGTGTTCACGGTGGGGCTGCAAAAAGAGAAAACACGCTTGTATTTACCTTCTAACAGGATGTTACAGTGACTCTATTGCCTGTGTGCAGAGACAGCAGATACTCCGAACCCTGTTTATAGCACCGTTGTATTCAATAGAATTATATTAATTAATTATATGTGCCGCTCGATTAAAAACGATATATCTGCTTCATATGTGCGACCCACCTGTCCACTTTGCAGGCCTTGTACCAGCTTCCGTACTCCACGTAGGGCCCGGAGTCCCTGCGCTTACCCTGATGGGACACAGCGGGGGGGGGGACACGGGGGGGGGGGATGAAAGGAGGCAGAGAGCACGAGGAGCCAATCAGCAAACATTAGCATATTAAACAGCCTATTGAAAATGTCCTCGAGGTCATTTGCACAGCAGGCGGTTCTCCATCAGCCTCGTTTCGCTGTTCAGTCCCATTTCCATAATAAGCCGCCATGAAAAAGGTCCGGCTGAACAACCGACCTTGCTCTCCTCTCGCTCCTCTGCGTGCATCCAGATCGGCTTGTTGTCATCTGCAGCGGGACACAAGAATCAGAGAAAGGCTGTTTGACCCACGAGAGCGATATTAGGAGGCCAGGCTGCTTCTCTGCCCTTAAGTAAAGAAAACCGTAGGGTTTGATGGGCTTAGCAGCAGCAGCAGGGACACATCGCTCCGCACGCTGCAATGACAAACGAATCCTCTGAAAGGGGTGTGGCCAAATCAAATGAATAATCACAAACCCCCAAAACGCAGCAGGGGAATTAAAAAGGACTCCAAGATGTATTAATTTCTCCCAAAAGGAAAACAATCATTCTTCATGACAAATGAAAAAGGAAACATAACAAATATTGTGACAGAACAGAATCTCCTTGATTAGTTCTTGACTGAACTCACTGTTGACGGATCCAAACTCCTTCTCGTGTGCTCTGGTCAGGATCTCCTTGTACAGACACTCTGCGTCTTTGAACTTGCCCTGCTTCAGGTAGCACGAGGCCTGAGGAGAACCAACACGGCCGGACTTTAATCGCCACGTCAAAATGACGCCACATGGAAACGTGCAATCACGAGGCGGCTGACAGAAGAGCAGGAAACGGGGGGAGACCACACAGTGTCCCCACCAGGTTGTTTTTGGTCTTGGCCACGTTGGGGTCATCGGCTCCCAGCTTGGACTCGTAGATCTCCAGCGCCCGCCTGTAGTAGTACTCCACCTCGTCGTACTTGCCCTGGTTCTGACACAGCAGGGCCAAGTTGTTCAGCTGCTTGGCCACATCTGGGTGATACTTCCCCAACACCTGGAGACAGATTCGCCGACGATGAGCAACGGACTTCTCCTCCGTCTGTGTGGACGGACGCTCGGTGGCGGGGGTCCTCACCTTCTCTCTGATCTCCAGCGCCCTCTTGCAGAGAGGCTCCGCCTCTTTGTACTTGCCCCTCTTGCCGTACAGGACGGCCAGGTTGTTGAGGGTTGCGGCCACGGCCGGGTGGTCCCTCCCCAGCGTCTTCTCGCGGATGGCCAGCGCGTCATTCAGGAGGTGAGCAGCTTCTTTGTACTTGTTCTGATCCCTGGAGGACAAAACGGAGCCACAGCAGTCGATTACCAAACCTGTGGATTTGAAGCCCCTCCTCCTCCTCCTCCTCTTCCTCCTCCCCCCCACCTGTAGACCAGGGCCAGGATGTTGAGCATGGTGGCGACGTCGGGGTGGTCGTGTCCGGACGTCTTCTCCAGGTCCTCGAGGGCCTGTTTGCACAGCGGCACCGCCACCTCGTACCTGCCCTGCGAGGCGTACTGGATCACCAGGTTGTGGAGCGTCCTCAGGCGAGCCGGGATCTCGTAGCCCCCCTGCTGGGCGGCCGCCTCTCCGCTGGGCTGAGCTGGGAGAGCGGGGAGGATGGTAACATGCGGCGCGCTTATTCTTTCTTCCAACAGACAAGAACCAGATCGGTGTGCTTGTTACGATCTCATACCTGGTCCCTGGTCATCGTCGTTGGGGAACAGGTCATCCAGGCTGTCCTTCGAAGTGTCTCCGCCGCCGCCGCCGGAGCTCTGGCTCTTCTCCTCCGAGGGCGAGACGTCGTCGTCGAACTTCTTGATCTGGTTCATGAACTCCAGGTGCTTCTTCTCCTCCTCCAGCTGGGCGACGCTCTGCTCGCTGCGCTGCAGCTTGTGCTGCGTCCCGGCCAGCTCGTCCCGCAGCCACTGGTTCTCCTGGCACAGGCGGCGCACCTGGGCGCGCAGCTTCTGCTTCTCCGACTCCACGGCGCTCAGGTGGCTCGACAGGGCGATGATCACCTGGGGGAAGGGGTTAAAATTGTCACAATACTGTAGTTTTCCTTAAAATCCTTTTCGCGCACCCAAAGGAAAGAAAAGGAGAGCTCCCACCTGCGCCTCTCCCAGGCCCAGCTCGATGGCCTCCATGCTCTTGCGAAGCAGTCCGGACTTCTCCTGGGCGGCGGGGGGCTGCGTGCAGTCCAGCAGCGAGTTGAGGAGCTGGGCGTGCTCGCCGCGCAGCGTCTCCAGGCCCTGCACCACGGCCTTGGTGTTGAGGACGATCTCATCCTGACTCAGTCGCTCCAGGGGTTCTTCACGTGGGTACACCATGGCGGACATTGCCTGTGTTTCATGCACACTGCGGGAAGAGGGGAGGGATGGAACTTTTTAAAAACGAATATGGTCGTTTGGAGTGATGAACACGGGGGCTCACGGATGAAGATACAACATCTATTCCCAGGACCCCTTTCAAGCTGCATCTCGGCGCTTGGTTCCCAATAAGTAGCAACATACATCTCACAGCTGTACACAGAGCCAGGCAGATCCGGCTCAGTATGACGTCACTTCCTGAGCACGCAGCGTAAACACTGGTCAGCTGGAGATGACACCAGGACAAGGAACCAATTGTGCAACATCGTGACTTTCTCTCGTTTCCTGCTACGATGGTGGAGGCACCTGTTCTCCCCCCCCTCCCCCTCCCTTCCTCCCCTCTTTCACTCAGCCATCCTCCCCCCTCCTCCCGTCCCGTCCGCCTCACACACACACACACACACACTGCAATGCACCATTATCCAAACGTCCTCTTAAAATGCAGCTATCGCCGAAAAGGGAAACCTGAGAAAAGGTACAAAATAAAAGCATCCCGAAATGAAGATCGCCGCTCATCCCGTCATATTTAACCGTGTTTGAGCCGCGAAGGAATAATGGAGCCGGTGGATGGTGGAGGCCTGAGTCCCCGGGAGGCGCGGCGGCGTGTCGATCAAGGTGACCGACACCGGAGGGCCCTGCTCGCAGACGGCAAAAGCCGTAACAGATGATGCACGCAATAATCGCCATTGATTGAAACCGCGTTGAAACGTGCGGATGTGTTTGTAAACACCGCAGGCCCGCGCACCGGGACGTTACACAACACACGCCGGTGCGCGTTACCGTCCATCCGCACACTCCACGTCCACAGATACGATTAGGATAGTGATCTTTTTTTAGAAATAGAAATCGTTGCGAGTGTTGACAGCAGAGGACACCTTTAAGGATCCGGCCGAGGATGCAAGGTTTCATTCGACATCTTCCAATCATTTTTTTAAAACGGTGTAACGTTATGTGCGTGTTTTCGGGCTTATTTAAATATTACATATCTAATATATTTACCTTCATCGATGATAAGTGCGATGCTTTCCGTCCACTCGAACAAAGCGGCCGGACAATGTTGTGATGCTCCAGACAGACCAGCGTTAAGCCGACTAGTTAGCCGTCATGCAAAACAAACCGCTTCCGGGTGCGTTTTTCAAAATAAAACGACTCTTTCGCTCAAGAGTAGTGGGGAGATGTGGAGCGTCAAATACATTAAAGCAGCTTATCAAAGTACACGGAGTGACACTATCAAACGGAAACACACGGGAATAATGCCATTTAGCACCGAGTGCTAACGCCAGTTGGTAGCTAATTAGCGGTACGCTAACGCTAAAGTTGGCGCGAGCGTTACTTTGAAGGGGGCTACTAACGGTAGTTGCTGTGAACTACCGTCGGGTTACCGGTCTTATTCGTTTCAGGCTCCTCGCGTGTGCCCGGAATAGAAACCACACCACTCGGTTTAGTTTAATACGATTACGAAGCGTTAACGCTAGCTAATAGCGGACTTGGCGTGCTCTAACGGTAATTAACGTTAATTATCTTCTGCTCCACCTTACCCAGGCTGTCACTCCCGAGGCCGGCAGAGTGGAGCTTAAATGTGCCGGTTATGACTGGTCATCCCCTCGGAACTTTGTATTAATCAATAAAACAGGGATGCTGTCGTGGATGTGGTGCAGGTGTTACAACTGGGAGACGAAAAATGGCTGTTCTCCCAGAATCCGACAACCGAAGATGAAACGAAACATTGAGATGAGTCAGCTTGGCCATTTTCCAAGCGGGGCGGGAAATGATGCTGCGCATGCGTGTTGTGCCGCTCACTGCTAGCATCTGCTCGATTAGCATCTGCTCGATTAGCATGCGCTGCGGTTGTAAAGGTGATTTTTAAACAGGAAATAGCTGGTTGATGTGGCATTGAAAATACTGTTATCACTCATTGTCGACAAGTACATCATTTAACTTTAATAAACTTCGTTTGCCTAACAGGATGTGGGTTGAGGTGCAGCCTCTTGCTATGCTTACACTCTTTGTAATGTGTAGTCAGCAGAGGCCCCATACAAAGAGGGTATCAGGTTATGGAAATGCCCCCTGTGTACCACTGACCTGCTAAACAAGCTCCGTGTGCCCTTAAATATGTACATCCTTTATATCAGCGCTCGTACTGGTTAATGTGCAATTAAAACACGTTTAATTCATCTGATCATTAAGGTTTTGACATCGCTATTTGGTGCAATTATGATAAAATGTATTTTTGTTCACTCCATTAAAAATTAGCTAGGATCTTGTAGTCTGATTATAGGCTTGTATTTTTCTCTTTTGTCCAATAGCTTTTTCTGGAAAACACTCATTAAAATAGTCTTTCAAACAAAGAGACAGCTACAAATCAGGAATATTTTTTTATTTAAAAAACCCCCAAATGAAACAATTAACACTTCTCATCCCACATCTGTTTGATAACAAACATAATCATGAAAAAGCAGGACTACAAAACAGGTCAAATTAAGAAAAGAACCAAAACTTGAATACAATATAACATGTACTATCTGATATATACAAGCATTATATAGTTATAGTTATAGGCGAAAGGCAAACAAGCTGAAGAAACGATGGCATGTGCAAAACACTCCACAAAGCCCACAAGCTGAAGGCGCTCTGCACCGAGCGGAGATCTACCGCCGTCACGGGCGAATCCCGTTACCGCGACGACAGGCGTACACCTCTAAGTGAATTGGGACGATATCATTACGGATGACTTCAGAAGCTTTTGGATGCCCGTTGAGGAAGACTCATCATCATCATCATCATCATCAAGAGGTAAATCCGAGGAAGGTGGAGAGACCAGACGCTGCTGCTCGGTGACGGAGGAACCGGAGGTACGGGTGAGGAGACACGGGGACGGGTTTCGTCACACGCGGGACAACCAGCGCTTTGCACGGACACTTGAGGAACGCGTGTTAAGAGAGACGGGACGCGATGGAGGCGACGTTCCTCCAAACATTGAAATGAGGACTTCAGGACGACGGGGCACTTTGTTATCAACCAACAGATCAACCCGGTTATGAGCACGACTTCTTTACAGTGAAGTTTTGGCAGTGATTTTGTTTTTAGTGCCTCTTTTTTTTTGGTGCGGAATAGTTTTAAGTTCAGATGACCTGGGAGTCGGCTGACCTTTGACCTCTGCGGGAGGCCTCAGTAAACGGGGACTTGACACCATTTAGGAAAAGGTTCACATCATAGCAATAATTAGACTAACGTTACTACAAGGCAAAGAGCTTTTTTTTAAACTGTCATTAGAGCCTCCTCGGTCACGCTGTACAAAAAAACATCTAAATCCATTTACACATTTGACAGATTCTATTATTTTCCGAATTTAAAAACACGGTAACTTTCATAATAAAAGCTTACTGCAAAAACGATTTCTGAGTTGTCACCAATGACTTCAGTAAAAAGGTTGAAACACATCACGATGAAGCTGTTACAACGATTAAAGTCAATAAAGTTTAGGTTTGTCTCCTCTACAGAGCATCATCTCACATCCACACTGCGGATTCCCCCTCGTCACCTGTTGGACTACAACATTTCATTTAACAAGACAAACTAAATATTCAAATTTTGTCAGACAATTTGAGAACTTTCTGACCTGGTGGTTTCTGACCACCTGATTAATTCACGTCCAATTCTCTCATTTCAGCTCTGTTTAAGTTTAGTTTTCCTGCCGTTTCCCTGTTTGGCGCCGAGCAGGTGGAATAAAACCGGTATGGGCGTGTGGGGACCTTACGGGCTGGATCATCACACATGGTCTTTATGTTTGACATACGGAATGGCTCGTGCATTGAAGCGGCGTAATCTAATGCGTTCTTTGAGTACTTATGGAGATGAATGAAGTCATTAGTGGCAAATTAGAACGTTGCACTTGAGCTTTTATTCCCAGAAATGTCTCCTCGCTTAAAGTCTGCTTTCAGGCCCAGCAACACAACATCCAGCGGGGCCTTAAAACCGCCCACGTAAACAAAATTCCATACATTCAAATATGTGAAAGCACTCGCGATGGATCGCCGCGGCGTCCGTTGCGAGCGGAACAAGCGGGGGGGGGGAGTAACACTGACATCCGGACACAAGAAAAGGTACAAAACCAACAAACGACAGCAGTTCAAATCGCGACGTTGGCATCAACACTGTTCAAAAATGAAATCAAAAACACATTTCCCTAATACTTTACTGGACGACGCGGCGATGGAGGCGGAGCTTCAGTTCGGCCGCCTCGAGGCAAACGCCCGACTTTCCTCGCGAGAAAAAAAAAAGAGGAAGTTATTAAGGAAGTCTGAAGAGAAACAGAACGGACTTCAGGGAGAAAACACATGTGATGTGTAAGCGTGTGTTTTTCGGGTCTCGAGGGGTCGGAGGTCGTTGAAATCGGCGCGCTGTTGCATGCTGTTGCATTCCATAGAACGGAAACGTAAATGGCAGTTAAGATAATAAACTTGTGCTGTGGGCCCCTTTGTAAACACACACACACACACACACACACTACATTCACGTGTGCATGCACACTCGCCACACACATAAACACACACAGAAAGGGGCATTAAAGTGACTAGTAACAACGCCGCACCCCCAACAACACCACCACCACCACCATCCTCTTCCTCTTCCTCCTCCTCCTCCGAGGAGAAACCAGTCGGCTGCAGCCTGAACAGAGGAGAGTCGAGGTCGAAGGAGGTGCCCCCCCCCCACCACCACCACCTAGGAGGGCGGCTTGCTGTAGCCGAAGAGTCCGACGGGCAGGTACTTGACGTGAGTGGGCCACTGGGCGGCCAGCTGGAAGAACTTGACCTCGTTCCACTCGACGCCGTCGATGGACACTGGGAGAAGAAAGCGCAGCTCAGTGACCGGGCGAGGGAAAAGAGCGGCAGGTCGCCGGCCGTTCCCGGAGGACGGCGCAGCGATCGGACCGGCGCCGGCTACCTTTCAGGATGGTCTGCTGCTGCTTGGCGGAGCAGATGAGCCGGCTGATGCCCTCGATGACCTGGCTCTTCGAGTCCACGTCCTTCTCCTTGGGCTTCTTCCCCAGGAAGATGGTGGGAACTGAAAGAGCGGCGCGCAGGGAAATCGTTAAAAGCGCCTTCGGGGGCGTAGAGCGCGCGCTGGATGGAGGTGGACCTCACCCTTCTTGTTCTTCTCCTTGGTGACCACGGTCATGGCCATGGTGCTGACCTGGGCCTGCGGCTCGCTGCCGCCCTCCCCCGGCAGCCGGCTGACCTGCAGCGAGCGGAAGGCGCTCTTCAGCGTGTTCTTGCAGCCCGTGTCGCGCCGATCGCCCTCCCGCCGCTTCTCGGCCAGAGAGGCCAGCCAGTAGTCGACCTGCAGGCCGATGGCGTCCACGCCGTGGGACATGCTGGGGCTCCTGGGTGGGGGAGGGGGGCGGAATGATGAGGCTGAAGCAGAATGAAGTGAAAGAAGGCGGGAGGGCCGGTCTCACCCTTGCGCCGTCTGGACGCTGCCCATGGAGGGGGAGGAGGGAGGCGTGGCGGCCTCCTTAATCGTCCCCGCGGGGGAGCCGTGGGAGGGCGGGGACGTGGAGGGCACGGCCAAGCTCACCGCCACGCCCTCTTCGCCGTCTCCTTTAAGAAAGCAAAACAAGATGAACGTCATCGCGGCGGCGGGTGGGGGGGGGGGGTTTCGCCGAAGCCGATCGCGAACACTCACCCGTCGGAGAAGGACCCGACTCCACGAGGCCGACCTTCACCACCTGGGAAACAACAACCAACAGTCAGTAACCCGCCGTCATAGAGCTCCACTGGCGGGCGGCGGCGGCGGGCGGGACGTCCTACCCCGATGAAAGGAATGAACTTCTGGTAGGAGTCTTCGTCTCGCCTGGAACGAGAACGGAGAGATTAAACACACACACTCAGGGATGTGTGTGTGTGTGTGTGTGTGTGTGTGTGTGTGTGTGCACTCACGTCCGGTGCTTGCAGGTCAGCATGGCCTCGGCGATGGGCAGCTGGTGCGTCACCGTGGCGCCGCTGATGTACTGGGAGATTCTCGCAGCGACATCCAACTGATCTGGAGGTGAAGGGAGGAGGGGGGGAGGGGCTTAGTGAATTAGCTGAGGTGCGTCTGTCCGTGCCTCGGGGGCGGGGGGTGGGGGGAGGAGGGGGTACCTGTCTGTGGCGGCTCGGCGCGGCTGAACACGTCTCTCCACGCCCCGTCCAGGAAGGAGGAGCTGTAGCGGTTGTCGAGGGCGCCGAGGTGCTTGGCGACCGGGTGGGAGCCTGGGGAAAGGGGGCGGAGTCGAGGGGAACAAGTACAAACAATCAAATAAGAAGAAAAAAAAACAAAAAGGCGTTCCCGAATCGCCACGGCAACCCCAGCGGACGCCCTCACCCAGCGGCACCACCAGGAAGCGCATGTGGTTGAGCCAGTCGGACGTCTTGTTGGCGAGCTGAGTGACAAAGAACTGCAGGATGGCTCCGAGGTAACTCTGACCCCCCACCGCCGCCACCTTCACCGCCCGGGGCATCGACGAGTTACAGTTACAGCTGCAGACACGGAGGAGGGGGGGGGAGGAGTTAATAGAGCCGAGTCACATCCATCAAACACATACGAGCCCCTCAGGGGAACAGATCATCTCGTATGAGACGTCTGACAGCTCTGAAACATTTGTACTTATAAAACATCTCTAAGGAAAGTGTCCATCACGTCCGACGACTTGTTTTGTCCAAGCGGCTGTCAAAAACACTTTAACATCAACTAGTTGTCACAGTCGTGACCCTGCGAGGGCGAAGGGACGGAAGGAGAGAAGAGAACAGGGTGAGGAGGATGTGAGGGGAACGATGAGGGAGGTATGAAGGTATCGCTTTAGTGAGGAGGAGGAGGAGGAGGAGTAACAGAGGAAGGGTCAAACAGAAAAGGCGTCAGAGAAGAAAAAAGACCAATGAGTCACCCTGCAAACCGAAGGAGGATGTGTGTGTGTGTGTGTGTGTGTGTGTGCGCTCCAATCACCAAAACTCACAATTTCTGGATGCGGGTCAGCACGGCCGACAGCACCGCCTGGATCTCAGCCGAGGAGCACGTGCAGACCACCGGGTGCCGCTGCACCTGCAGCTGCTCCGCCACGTACTGCGGTGCGTGGGGGGAGGAGGAGGAGGAGGGAGGGGTGGGGGGGGGGCGGGGCAAAGGGCGCACGGTGAAGAGGACACGCACACACCAGATCACGAGGAGGGCAATGCTACACACACACACGGACACACACACTCACCTGTCCCTGCCAGTCGCTGACGTTGACCAGGATCAGGCTCTCTGGCAGCGCAGAGTCCGACAACAGGATCTGGTTCAGCTGGTCGTACACCACCTTCCTCAGGACCTACACACGCACACACGCACACACACACACATACGCACGCTCAGTACGTGAACCCCCCCCCCACAGTGAACCACGGCGATCTGCGCGCGAGCTCGCGGCGTTACCGGCGCGCTGTGCCCCAGCTCCGGAGACCTCTCCGAGTCGGAGCTGTTGGTGCGCTCGCTCAGGGGCTTGGAGAGCTGCCGCTCCTTGGCGGGGGTGCTGATGCGCTTCTGTCTGGGGGTGTGGCCTCCATCCAACCTGAGCAGAAGAAACGGGCGATCAAATAACGCTAAGAGAGAGAGCGGCACACCAATCCGCACCGACGGTAAAGCCTCGGCAACGTGCACGAAAACAGCTGTTCCCGTTCAGGCGGGACGTTCCCCCGTTACCTCGGCGACGGCATGGCCTGGCCTTCGCTTTTGCTGCTCTTCATGGGCGTACGGGGTTTCTCCGCCACGGACACCGTGATGCAGGGGCCCACCTCCGCAAACAGCTCCTGATCCGTCAGCTCCAGCGTGTCCGTCTCGGACAGCGCCTCCTCCAGGTTGCGGCTGCGGGACAGTTTCATCTTCTCCAGCGGAGGCTGCTCCCCCTGCTGGCGGGACGAGGGAGCGACGGTCATTCCGACGAGGCGATAAAAAAAAGATTCGCGGGGGAGCGCGTCTCCTTCCGCGACAGGAAGCGTTTAAACACAATCACAACATTAAGGGGCTGTGCAGCTTTTTGAGTGTTGGGGGGGGGGGGGGTTGTGTTACATTAAACACATTCAGCAGATGGCAGCTGCCAAAGGAGACGTTTGGGGAAGTGCGCGTTCGCCCCGTCGCCTCCCCTGCTGGGCGACTTTTCATCGCCTCAAAGGAATCACTTAATGGCGGCGGCTCGCAGGGCGCTTGTCATGACAACATCCGTGATGTGAGTGTAAACGGAGCTGCCGCCGAAAACGTGGAAGAAAAAAATGAAATAAAAAAAATGGACAAAAGCAGAAACGACTCGATTAAAGCGAAGAAGACGGGTTTAGTACAAACGGGTCACTCACCGGGCTGAAAGGGTCCCGACCCAAACTGCCTTTGCTGTTCAGGCTGCCGATCTCCGTCTGCGAGCTGGACTGAGACATTCCCTCGAAGAAGGGCCTGCAAACACACGGAGGACGTTTGCCGATCAGATCAAATAACCTTAGAAAGGCACCGGCGACAGGCAGCTCGTACTTAGTCCCATTTCCCGTTTCGCCGCGCCGCCTTGTCCCCCCCGCGCGGATATTTTGAGCGCTCTCTCGGATTTTTGAGGCGGAAATCGAGGCCGAGTTCTAAAAATACCCAGAGAGAGAGACGTCTACCTGAGCTTGGGTTTGGGCGTGCTGAGGATGCTGTCGTTCTCCTCCATCTCCGGCCCGCTGTCGCTGGGGTTGTACATCTCCAGGCTGTCGTACAGCTCGTCCAGGTCCTCCTCCACCTCCTGGATCTGCTCCCTGGACACGTGCTCCAGGCCGAAGCCCACCTGGACCAGAAGCCCGGAGGGGAGAACATGAGGCCAAAAGACCGAAGCGGAAGACGAGCAGCCGCGCAAACGCTAAAGCGGGGAAAGCGCGTACCTCGTCGGTGACCTTGAACCTCTTCAGCAGGGCCACAAACTTCTGCTTGATGTTGGGTTGCTGTGGAGAGAGAAGGAGGAGGACGTGAGGAGGAGGAGGCGTCATCGGCAGTGACTCGGGGCTTGTTGCTCTCGAGGTCGAGGGAGACCGGAACCGATTGTGAGCGCCGACCTTTGCGGCCACCTCGCCGCTTATTTACACAGCGCGCGGCGGCGAGCGACATCGCGTTTACCGTCTCTGTCGGGTTTAAAATCCGCTTTGAGCAAAGCGTGAGACACTGGGGCTGTAAACAGTGTGTGTCTGCACACTGCAGAGTGTGTGTGTGTGTGTGTGTGTGTGTTTGTGTGTGTTGTGCACAGCCGGTGGTGTCAGGGAGCAGCAGCAACAATCTCACAGACCTCCATTAATAACCTGCTGACACACACACACACACACACACACACACACACACACACACACACACACACACACACACACACACACACACACACACACACACACACACACACACACACACACACACACAGCTTATCTTATTGCGGGTTGGAGAATTGGGCTGAATTACATGCGCCCAGAATGAGATGAATAAAATTGATTTTTAGAAAAACGAATGAAAGATGTAAAGGAGGAAAGACGAGGGGGGAGGAGGAGGAGGAGGAGGGAGGAGGAGGGCACATGAGGACGAGGGTTACCAGGCCGCCCACATCAAATCCATTTCTGAAAGGGACATTTCATGAAGGGGGGGTTCACAAATTGCTTTGCAGGCAAAAATAAGGAGGAGGGGGGGGGGATGAGGAGAACGAGGGGGGATGAGAAGAACGAGAACGAGGAGGAGGGGATGAGGAGAACGAGGAGGAGGGGATGAGGAGAACGAGGAGGAGGGGATGAGGAGAACGAGGAGGAGGAGAGAGGAGGAGGAGGAGAACGAGGAGGAGGGGATGAGGAGAACATGGAGGAGGAGGAGGGGGGATGAGGAGAACGAGGAGGAGGGGATGAGGAGAACATGGAGGAGGAGGAGGGGGGATGAGGAGAACGAGGAGAACGACATCCCTACATCCCAACCCGCACTCTCCGCTCTGCATCTGCTAAACTCCTCGTCCCTCCCTCACTGAGAGCAAAACACTCGACTAGGTCTCGACTCTTCGCTGTCCTTGCGCCGAAATGGTGGAACGCGCTCTCTGAAGACATCAGGACCGCAGAGAGCCTTCACATCTTCCGCCGCAAACTAAAGACACACCTCTTCAGACTCTACCTCGACTAAAGACTAACAAATTGTAGCACTTAAATTGTACTTGTAACGTCACTCATCTATAGCAAATTGTAAATTGGCTTATTTGAGGAAATTGCACTTTCTTGTTTCTTGTTCTCCTGAGTTTGTACCCTATGGTTGAATGCACTTATTGTACGTCGCTTTGGATAAAAGCGTCAGCTAAATGACATGTAATGTAATGTAACGAGGAGGAGGATGAGGAGAACGAGGAGGAGGGGGGTGAGGAGAACGAGGAGGAGGGGGGATGAGGAGAACGAGGAGGAGGGGGGATGAGGAGAACGAGGAGGAGGGGGTGAGGAGAACGAGGGGGGGATGAGGAGAACGAGGAGAAGGGGGGATGAGGAGAACGAGGAGGAGGGGGGATGAGGAGAACGAGGAGGAGGGGGGATGAGGAGAACGAGGAGGAGGGGATGAGGAGAACGAGGAGGAGGGGATGAGGAGAACGAGGAGGAGGGGATGAGGAGAACGAGGAGGAGGGGATGAGGAGAACGAGGAGAACGAGGAGGAGGGGGTGAGGAGAACGAGGAGGAGGGGGTGAGGAGAACGAGGAGAACGAGGAGGAGGGGGTGAGGAGAACATGGAGGAGGAGGAGGGGGGATGAGGAGAACGAGGAGAACGACATCCCTACATCCCAACCCGCACTCTCCGCTCTGCATCTGCTAAACTCCTCGTCCCTCCCTCACTGAGAGCAAAACACTCGACTAGGTCTCGACTCTTCGCTGTCCTTGCACCGAAATGGTGGAACGAGCTCTCTGAAGACACCAGGACCGCAGAGAGCCTTCACATCTTCCACCGCAAACTAAAGACACACCTCTTCAGACTCTACCTCGACTAAAGACTAACAAATTGTAGCACTTAAATTGTACTTGTAACGTCACTCATCTATAGCAAATTGTAAATTGGCTTATTTGAGGAAATTGCACTTTCTTGTTTCTTGTTCTCCTGAGTTTGTACCCTATGGTTGAATGCACTTATTGTACGTCGCTTTGGATAAAAGCGTCAGCTAAATGACATGTAATGTAATGTAACGAGGAGGAGGGGGGATGAGGAGAACGAGGAGGAGGGGGGATGGGGGGCGCTGAGGAAGACGAACAAAAAACGCAGTCGGGGACAAAAGCAGACGCTGTCAGCGAGGACGCCGCAGACAAAAAACGTTTTCAATGCGTGACCTTTCTGGGGGTAAAGCTGCGGGTGAATCGCTGTTTTCCTTAATGTCTCTTGATTAAAGCATCATAAAAGCACACGCACGACAAACTTATGAAGAGGATACAGACGGTTGTTCTAATTTGAGCTCACTGACATTTACCGCGTGTAAAATCTCCTCATGGTGCTCATTAAACTAAGAACCAGCGGCTCCATTTAAGTCGTATATCTTTGCACCATATTGAATTGACTCACCTTTAAAAGGCCCAAACGCTGCTGCTCCACCGAGTTAGCTTCACGCGGCTAATGTAGCTAACATTAGATGGATACTGTTCAGCCTAAAGGAGCACATTTTAAGAATAAAAATGTATCCAAGAGTGACGCAAAGAACTGAGATCCTGCTTTAGATAAATGACTGGGGGTGTATTTGTAACTGTGATTACATCTTGTGGGGATCTTTAAGTTTAAAGAGCTGCGGTTCTTCCTCACAGTGACTCAGTGGAAACAACATGTCACATCAAGAGTCTTCAGAGGGACGACGCTGCTGTGTGACGGGAGCGAATGAGCAGAAAGCCGCACGCGCGCACGCACGCACGCACGCACGCGCACGCACACGCACACGCACACACACACACCCCCTCTCCACGGGCAGAGCTCAGACTTTTACTCCGCCAGCGAAGGAGACGACTTTGAATCGTTCATGCGTACTAGTATGCATTCGTGCCCTTTGACCTCCATTTTTCATGGATGAAAAAATAAATAAAAAATGGCCGCCGTGTTACTGGCGGAGGCGCACAGCGAGCGGCACGTTGTTTGGGACCCACCAAAAGACCTTTTTTTTGCTCAATCATCTGGTTCTCCTCCACCCAGCCTGCGGCGTTGCGAAAGAGGCCCGAACGATCCTACTGGGGATCCACGGCAACCGCCGGGCCGAAGGTCGCAGTCTGACTTTTCGTCCCGGGGAGGCCGAGGCCGCGCGCTCAGCGTGACGAGCCGCTGACCGCTAGTTTGTCGGGTCAGCGGCTCCGACCTGCCGGGGATCCGCTGACTCGACAACCCGCGGCTCCCACGTCCTCGGCGGCGCTTTCGTCAAGAATAACACTATGGACGCCGCGGCGATGGCGTTCTCGTACCTCGGCCATGTTGATGAGGCCCAGGGCCAAGGTCTTGTAGCCCAGGATGGTCCGGTTCTTGTAGCGCTTCCGCCGCTGCAGCATGATCTGCAGCTTGTTGGCGTCCCTCTTCAGGAAGTGCGGGTACTGCGGGCACAAAACGCACAATCAAACACACACACACACACACACACACACACACACACACACACACAGTGGACAGGGAGGGGGGGAGGGGGGAGGGTGCCGTGATTATCAGGCCGATCGCCGCTTATCCCCGACGTGTCAGACGACTCATTAGCGCCGCGAACGGAACAAAACGTTGTCCTGCGACAACATCCGAGGCCCCTCGCCGCCGCGTCGCCTTAATTGGGCTCCCGCTCGGCGGGAAGTGAAATGCATAATGTATAATGTCTGTCTGGCTGGTTGCAGAGAGGGAAACTGCCTGACCTTTCAGCGCGCATTTAGAAACACGGAGAGTGGAGGATTTAGAGCAGAAGAAAACCCTGCTGGGATTCACGTTAGACCAACGAGAACTGGGAAACTGTGAGCGCTCATCATCGTTGACAGGATGAATACACATTTATCTGCTTGATATACATGTATATTTATTTATATATATATATATATATATATATATTATACACACATATATAGATTTGTATAGATATATGTATAAATATACATGTATATCTATATCTATAGATATATATGCTTGCTTCAGAAAGCAAAGATGTTCCCATCAGCCTCAGCTGTTTAGCGCCGAGTAGCATAATGCTAACACATTGTCCTCTCCGTCAGTGGTCCCCAACGTTTGGTACCACAGAAAGAATATATATATTTCTTTTTTTTCTGAAAAAGGTTTTATTTTGAAAATTGACCGGCTTTTCTACTAATTATGTGCGCAACGACTACTAACCCCCCCCCCCCCCCCGTTATTCCGCCGGACCTTTTCTACTCGAGGTGAAAAAGGTTGGGGACCACTGGTCTACGTAACGTCCAAAGTCCGTCTCTACCTGCAGCGAGAAGGTGAGCTGCAGGTCGGTCTCCGTCAGCCCCGCCGAGGACAGCAGGATCTCGTTGGAGCGCAGGATCCGCTTGGAGCCCTGAGGAAGAGGAGGAGAGAGGAGCGGATGAGAGGAAGACGAGGAGGAGGAGGAGGAGGCCAGTGTGTGCCGTGGGCCGGAGACGGCCTTTGGTCGGGTGTCCCTGTCGTACCTGCAGTTTGACGGCGATGACCACGGAGGTGAGGTCTTTGTCCAGCTCCTTCAGCATGATCAGCTTCTTCAGCGTCAGGTTGAACAGCCTGCAGAGAGAGAGAGAGAGAGAGGGTTTAACAAGCTGCTCCATCAAACGGAGAGACTCCTCCTTTTTGCTCCACGCCGCGTGGAAAGCAATCGCGGCCGCGTTTAACCCGCCAGGTAAGAGACGCAGGTAAAAAGGTCAAAGTGGAGCAGGGCGCCGTCCTGCACGCCGTCAAATCGAGCGAAAACAAAAAAATGAAAAGTGACACCCGAAGGGGCCTCGAGTGCAGCTCCGTGTTTCCTCCGACGGCAGGCTGTTAAAAAAAAAAAAAAGATTAAGTCACGTCCCCGACGGGACGGAGAGTGGTTTGCTATTCTTGTCCTTTTTCCAAGTGCAGCGCGCGCGCGCACACACACACACACACACACACACACACACACACACACACACACACAAAGTAAAAAGGGGATGTAATGAATGTGGAGAAAAAGAAACACAAGAAGTCAGACGATGAAGAAAGACAGAAGGGAGAAGGGGGGCGGACACACAACATGTTGAGAAACGTTCCCGTCTGACACAATAATAAACACACAACGAAGAAGAGACGACGGACAAACAAACCACGGCCCTGTTTTTATTTATTTATGACCAATCTGCAGCACAAACTACTGTGAAAATCAGCAGAGTGCTTAACAGAAAGAAAGCGTCCCTGCCTTCACTTTCTTTTCATCTGGTTGTTCCTCTCCGCCGGCGGCTGGACCAGATTATTTAAAAAAAAAAAGTCCTTTCTGCAGGAGAATCTGAGGACGCCGCTGAATGAATGTTTGATGCTCCTCTGGCTGGCGTTTTCCCAGCAACAGCGTCAATATCAACGTCCGTGTGTGTGTGTGTGTGTCTTTAAGGAGGCAGGTGACCATCGTTCCCTCGACAACCGTCCGTCACGGAGCAGAGTGACCTCGCCGTGTCACACAAACGGAACACCGACCTTCACGCTCCTATTTATCGTTTTTCCTGTTCTCACCCCCCTTCTCCCCTTTCTCCCCCGACCTCCCCCGTCTCCTCCTCTTCTTGTCAACAACACACGAGTGATTTGTCGTCATACCGATTCTTCAATTTTGCTTCCAATCGAATCTCATGAATTGACGAGACAATCGCTGCTGGCCGGGTTACAGGTGGAGGAGGAGCTAAAAGCCTTCGATTTCCGCCGTTATCGACAGTATAGAGACGGGAAATATGGGAAGTGAGGGAGGAGCCTCCACCCGGCTGAAGGCTCCGGCGTTAAGGTCCGATTGAGAGGAGGACGGTTTGCGTACGGCGCACACACACTTATCTCTCCCCAAGTTTGTGAGCAGCACTGAGGGTTAATCTGACACACACACACACACACACACACACACACACACACACACGCACACACACACGCACACACCAGTGGAAGCACTTGAGGGGAAGAGGCCGAGCCGTCTTCTAAAGCCTTCATCCTCTTATCCGTCACCTTTCAGACTCGCTGTGAGCTCAGCGCGCGCGCACACACACACACACACACACACACACACACAAAATAAATCCATCCATCCAGAAGCGCTAGTTACTCACACATGTGATGAATAATTATTATTACCGTTGTTATAGTCATTCTCAAAATCATTATTATTCTAGTTTAAAATCCTTTAGCTGTATAAATAAAAATCATGTAAACAGACTTTGAACTTTGTGTGTTTTTAAGATGTGGCTTAAAAACCTCACATGGGGGCTTTTCGGATCCCGAGGCCCCCAATGAGCTTATCGCCGACCTTTGACCCACTCGCACACACAAAACAGGACTCCAGAGGGACGAAGAAAACTAGAAAGGGAAAGTAAAGGAGAAGTCGAGCGGCAGAAGAAGAAGAAGAAGCGTTTGATTCCCCACAAGCAACCGTCTTAAAATAGCGACTAAGTGGAGACCAACCGGCGAGCTGTCAGCCGTCTTTTCCTCCGCCGCCGCAGACGGAATAATTCATCGTGCGGTCGGATCGGGAGGCCGGGGGACGCTCAGAGCCCCGCCCCTGCACGCTCACGCGCACACGCTTAATCGCACGCGTTCTACCTGCCGCGGCCTGTCGCCATGACAGAGAGAACACATGAGACGGAGAGCCGGGGGGGGGTTTCATGAGGGCGTGGTTCCAATCCAACAGCCGTACACGGAGCGAATGCCGCTGTGACGCGAGGCCGCGGCTCGTTTCTCAGCACAAACGAAACGAGACAAGATGGAGCGGAGGCTTCGGATCACCTGAGTCTCTCTCTCTCTCCCCGGAGAGAGGAGTCACAAAGCTCTTGCAGGCCGGCTCTGCTTCTCATCCAAGAACTGGCGAAAGCTCTGTTGCAGCCATGAGCCGCCCGACCAAGCGGGGCTTAACGCGGGGGAGGGAGGG